ATAAATGACTCGTTTAACACGTAGGCTTTCGCTGCCAATATTATTCATAATAAAGGTTTTTGGTATTCATTGGTTCTTTCGGTAAAGTCACGTAGGTGAAAATAAAGAAGTAATTATTTTTTCAAATTCTTTATTTTAACAAATTTTTTATTTTATCAAGTAAAAATAATTGATTAATTTTATTTTTCACGTACGTGACTTTACCGAAATAACCAAAGAATATGGATCCTTGCAGTCACGATAACTTCAAATCTAGAATGGAAGGTTTTTTGTGTTCGATGGCGGAAGTATAAATGTGATCTAAACCAAAAACCTTTATTTTTGAATAAATGGCTCGCCTGGCAATGGTTTTGTGTGTTATGTATATACAGTGTACTGTATATATGTATTCGGCAATCTGTACATTCGTAAATACACGACTGAATTAATCATTCGAGCACATGCATAGTAAACACATCTTGATGTTTTAAGCACACTAAGCCTTTTTTTGTTCTTATTAAAGGCACTCTGTACGGTTTAAATATTTCTGAGGGGCAATCTTTGTGCATCCTATTATCTGCGTGGCTATCTGCCAAGACAGATGGACAATCGGAAGAATGTGCAACAACTTCGGCTCCACTCATCTTATTTGCGGATAAAAAAAAATTGCCGTCTCTTGCAGCATGGTTGATGAAATAATTTGCCATTGACGCAGGGGCATAGAAGTATCGTGCAATCGTTGATTTTTATGCACTGCCCTCTGCTGGCAACCACGCAGCCCTGCAGCAGGCTGTAACAAAACAAAAAAGCGGTTTGTCAGAATCTTCATTCATCCTTGAGAAATCCGCTGAGCTCCCAAGTTATTTTTCACATGCGTCCAGTTGTTGTCGCACAGTGGTCACCAATCCAAGCACGAACCAGGCTCAAATGTGCATTTTGATTGTAACCAGAGGTCAGTGGGCATTGCCCGCTCTCTCACGAGTCTCGCGTCACATATTAAATCGGAGGCAACTTACTTGGTCCACCAATGATGGGGATCGTAACGCGAGACGTAAGTCACTTTATATTGAACCTGGCCTGTGAGTGAAACGAATCAACCTCGACGACATTCTAACGTCGACTACATTCCAACTTCGACGATATTTCAGCTATGTTGTCTTCGTAGCCCTTCTAGAACACCATCAGAATTTAGAGAGACACACTCAAAATCGCCTACTGTATATCCGCTAAACAGAGTTGTAGACGGTAAAATTACTCAATTTTAAAATGCGCAAAAAAAACCACTTCATATCAATGATAAAGCACGAAAGGCTTCCGCTTTGGACGTGTGTCAGCAAAATAAAAAAAAATAAAACAATTCGTTTGAAAATAATTTACGACGTTGATAAGCAAAACATTGAAGGTTTTTTCTCGTGACTACGGTTAAGTGTAACGTTTTTGATTTTGACCGTTTCAATAAACAAGTGGTTGCGTTTAAAAGCATTCGCACGTAACGTGCATTATTCATCTTGTGCTAATTGTGTTATTTGCCTTGAAGAAACAAAGTAATGACAGCAGTGCATTAACGCAGAACGGAAATAACTGGGCTCCCATACATTCTCTTTAAGCGTCACCACACACGCCAACTGAATGTATAAAGATACTCGCACGGCACACAGGCGTGGAGAAAAGCACAATAACTTTTTTCAGTTTATCCTAAAAACTATTTAAAAACATTAAAAAAATTTGTAAAAATGTTACCAGGTAAGGCCCACTCTTTTTTTGTCAGAAGCGGTCTGACCACAAATGATAGCTCAACGAAGAAGTGGCTTATCATCACGTGGATAGTTATAGAAGCCATTCGGTGAGTTAACGCCATAAACGTGCCCGGATATCTTGGGATCTCAAGCTAAGTGGGATTGACCCTGGTTAGTGTTTTGATGGGTAACCACCGAGGCTTGCCAGGTGTTGTAGGCATGGCCCTGCGCGAGGAGTGGTCAAGAGAGGTGAGTGTTGAGTGTCACCCTCCTCCGTCGAAAGCGCGATAGACTTTCTCCGCTCCTGATCCATTTTTCCTCCCCAAATCTCATTCACTGAATTGGCCAAATAGCCCAACGTAGTAGCAAAGCCCACCCAGCAACAAAGAGAGACTTGAGACTCAAGGAAATAAATCAAATTAATATTCGCGTGGCATTAAGCCCGGAATCATTGTTATTATAAGCTGACTGTGATCAAGGGTGGATCCTTTGTTTTAAATGAGTTCATACAATAAATGAGGGCGCAATTATGCAACGAGACCATATTTCACACATTTTCTTGTAAGGTCAGATTGTCCCACACGCTGTAACGCTCCCCCAAACATAATAAACATTCGCGGCACTTCGGCCCCTTCACACTCGTAAGCTGATGCCCATGCAAACACACGCTAAGCAATTGCAGGTCGCATCTGCTGTTGTTCAGCCAGGGTGAGGACATGGATTGACTTTGGCTGTGATGACGTTGTGGGGCATAAGTACTGCTCAGCGCAATGGGCTGCAATGAAGTAGTTCAACATACACCGTGTCAAGTACCTGCAATGGTTTTAGTAAATGATGCACCACCTGAATATGAAATTGTCGGCGTTGCTCTGCATCTACTACATCCGCCATACAAAGGAAGAAGAAGTAAATGATGCTGTCGCGTATTCAGAATCTTTATTTATATTGGAGGAAATCGTATGAGCAATTAAGCTCTTATATCTCTGGCTGAGTGTCGCCGCGATTTGAAAAGTCCTTGGCTCGCAATCGGCGCAAGGGATCGCTTCAGCCCACCATCGTTCATCGGAGGTCGATAAAATAAATACACAATTCCTATGGAAAGTCAACAGCGGTGTGCCTTTGGAAAGCATATTCCTGGCCATGTTCACGAGCAGGCGTTCGTCAAGCCACTGCTGGATGATGCACTCACAATGGTTTCTATGGGTCATGGAAGTTATATGATCATATTCATAATAAAGGTTGTTGGGTTAGATTCTGGCAAATCGGCCGATGATGCTGGATGTAATTACCAGCGAAACGTCGTGCTACTCAAATTGTAAATGTTGTGGATTCACTCTCCATCACACCGGTGGGCTCAAGTAGTAACTATTTGGCGTTTGTTTACGCGACAAATCTCTCACTAATTGGCTGTGTCGGGTGGTGGAGGGTGACGACACATTTAAAATAACTCGATCTAACCCAAAAAAACTTTTATTATGAATATTGGTCGCGAAAGCCTACGTGTTAAACTGATATATGACCATACTTCACCACGCTGGTCGGTACATGTAAATTAAGGTAGGGGGAATAGATGTGAGTGCATAGACATTGATTTTCCTGCTGCCTTGCCATAGCCCCACATCAATTCAACACAACCAGTTGTGCATGGTGAGTTCCCGAGATATGACAATAGTCTGTGCATTCCCGGTGGTTTTATTATAGGCATCCGGCCATAGGAACGTGGAATGGAACGTGAAATTTCCATAACAGGCTCAGACTCACCATCAGAGATGAGTTTCACTTTTTTATCACTCATGTAAACTCTGTTATGGATTAATGTGTAATGAATAGATGGATGAATGAATGAGAGTACGGTTATTATCAATGGATCAATGAGTGTATGGTGACTCGATTAATTAATCAATTGATGAATGAGTCTATGTATGAGTAATCAATTGACGAATGCATAACTGAAAAAAATATTTGATGAATGGATGCGTGTACGATAAATTAGTCGATAAATATATTGGTAAATCGATGAATGAATAATCGATTAATCGATGCATTGCGTGATAAATGAATAAGTGAACGAATGAGTGTGTGATGGATCCATTAATCAATGGGTGTAATTACCGATTAATGCATTCGCTATCAAAAATCGCTACCGACTGAATTAACCAACGATTGCGTGCACGAATGAACCAACGAATGAATGAACGAACGAACGAAGGGAGGGAGGGAGAGACGACTGCACAACTTTCGATAGATCGAGTTCGCAATCGCGTTTTTTTTTTTTGAGCTCGTGTGTTTGACCGCGCGCGGCTGCCGTTTCGCTAGGGGCGCTGACGTCCCGGGGGGCAGAGGTCACGCCGGCTCCCCACGTGTAAGCGGCACGTCCACGTGCGTGCCGCGGCGATTTACTCGGTCCACCGAGTCCTCCTGCCACCACCGCCACCACCAACCTCGTCTCGTCCCCGTCAGGGTGAGGAGCAAAGCGTCCTCCCCCGGCTCACGCGAGCCAGCACGGCTCTCATCTCCGCTAGCGGGCCCGTCCCCCCCCCCACCCACCCACGCACCCAGTGCGTATTGGACTGTCCGATATTACGCAAACCGTGGACGTAAAAGTCATACAAGTCCCGTTATCGAGGTAAACAGAACGTGGCCAGTTCGTCACGAGTACAGCGCACCGGTTTGTGTGTGGTGGAGAGTGAAACCGCAACATTAACAATCGGGAGTACATCGTGACGTTTCGCCCGTAGTTACAACCAGTTTCATCAGGCGACGGCCACGGCTGCGGAGAAGTCCTCCCGTAGAAGTCCTCCCGTTTCGCTCTTGAACAGTCCTGTTGTCTTTCCACTGCTGGATGAGCGCCCTCCCGATCCCCGCGCGAATTTTGCGCGGGGTTTGGTTTGACCAGCGCAGTCCTCTGCACGCCGGACAGTGCGGCTGGGTGAGGGGGCGCTGCAGGGTGGAGCCGGTGGGGAGCAGAGAAGTTGCAGCTCGACAATGCGTTGTGGCAAGGAGCCATCCTTTTAGGGGGTGGTTAACCCAAATGCGTACGCTTGCGTATGGGGGGGGGGGTCTACTGACAATGTGCGTACGCATAGGAGGGGGAGCGGGGGTGGTGAAGCCTCGATAATAATTTGTCTACATTGGCTTTCAAATGAGTTAGATAGTCCGGCGCTGGACTATCTGTTTGCTTAAACACGTGAATATTATTAACCCTTGGATCGTTTCTGCGTGGATTAAATATTGGCCGTTCCATAGGATTCGTGGTGGGGGGGGGTGGGGGAGGTGCGTCAGGCGAACGTACGCAGGTGGGGTGATGGGGGTGTTAAAAGTTCGCGTGCCTACACGGAGGGGTCAAGTTTTGACAGATTTGTGCGGACCGACTCAATGGATGTCCCCCAACGGCGTCTCGCCGCCGCAGCCTCAGCGGCCCGTAACGTAACATCGCTCCCGTTGAGATGATCCCGATGTTAACGAGCCTCCAAGCGTCGGAAACCGGTCAAATTGACCAGAGCGTTGCCCAGAAATTGGGTAGATAAAGCATGGCGTATACACGACCTTTTTTGGTTTGTTACAAGTATGTAAACGACGTTTTACCCTGACAGCAAACCCCACCACCACCACCACCTACAGTTTCCGTGCAGCTGATCGGAATATTTCCGAGGAACGAGAGATTCATGTTTGGAAAGTATTGCCATAATCCGTGCCAGCGCATGATTTACTGAAAATAGTTTGATATCATCCTGGCTGCATTGGAACCATTTGTTCATCCACTTTTGATAGTAAATTAATCATTAATTCCCCCCTCCCCTGCAGATGGCTGCAGAGTGATCTGAATAGGATTTTACTTACACGAATACCTGCAGACAACCGCCAGGTATTACGTCTAATCTCACCTGTGTAGGCGGGGTTGATGTCACATCGCCGATGTACGCCTCGGGATGGGAGCACATGTTTTTAAATACAGGAGTTTAGTTATGGCAATCGCCTGATTATACTGGTTGCAATCTTTATTTGAAGCTTTCGTGACTGCAGGAATCCATATTCTTTGGTTCTTTCGGTAAAGTCACGTAGGTAGAAAAATAATATAAAAAAATCACTTCAGCAATTTTTTTCTTGCTGTGGTTGTCCCACCTGATGACGGGCGCTTGTGTTGCGCCCGAAACGTCGTGATTTATTTTATTTCTAACTACGTGACTTTACCGAAAGAACCAAAGAGTATACTGGTTGCAATTACCACCGAAACGTCGTACCCGAATTGTTAAATAACGCGAATGGCTCATTAACAAACCGATGTTCTGAAAGCATTAGAAATTGGCGTGTTCACGCGACAACTTGACGCTACGGTGACGAGATGTTAACTACCTCGCCTGGGATGCAGGAGGTCATGAGTTCCATCCGGACTCTGACGCCTGCTGTATATTTGGATTTTGCATATCCCTCTCCCTGTGGTCGCTTGGATTTTTCTCCACGTCCTCCGTTTTTTCTTCTTCACATTTATAAACGTGCGTTTAGAGTATTTGGCTGCTATAAATTGTCCACGTGATGATAAGCCGTTTCATTGAGATATCATTTGCGGCCAGGTCGCTTTTGAAAAAGAGCTCTATAGCTCAGTGGGCCTTACCTTGTAAAATAAAGAAGAGTTTAATCGTTTTTAACTTGATTGCCGTTGTGTGGAGGAGAGTTCTACGAAACAATGGTATTGTACTCGCGTGATCTGACCCAAACAAAAAAAACAATTTTGAATGCACTTTCTGCTCTCGTTTTTATTGTAAACTGATGTTCTCAGCACGGTCACCATTGCACAAAAATCATCACATATTTGGTTTTGCACTTCATCATCACCACGATGCATGGGCAGATAGCCTGTAGGTGTCCACTGCACATCTCGTCATTTGTTTCCACTTTCCTCTCGTCTTGTGCCAATATGCTTGACTGCCATGTGAAAAACATTACTCCCTGGAGCAGGGTGGCTGGGAGATTACTGCCACATACTGTGTGGGCGAGAGGTTGCTTACAGAGGTCTTGGAGGTATTTCTGTGATATTCGCTTCTGTGGGCCGTTCGCTAACTACGAGTCGGCAAGAGAAATTAATCATTTTTCTCATGAATTGACACCAATAGCACAACAGGAATAACATTCGGAGGAAAAAAAATTACTTATTATGCTGGAGGAATCCATCCAATTAGCTATAAATCAATTTTTCACAAATGTCCAGTAGGGGCAGATAAACACTTAACCGGACAAATTAACTTGTGGGTCATCAAGTTTTTTCCCAGGATACGCTATGTTTCGTGTGCCGAGCGATGCCTGTAAATGGCAGATTTAAGTCGACTTAAATCATGTCATGCTGTGGCTCTCTTGCAGGAGCACCAGAGCCGGCAGCGCTGCTGTGTGCAGCCGTTACGAGCGAACGGCATGGCTGTTCTGTTAATCGAGCCCTTCTATGGCGGCTCACACAGGTACGACACGGACGGACGGCTGGCACCCACCCGCGACATGAATCGCACTAGCAAAAGCCGTCTGAGAATAGGAGGGCTATCGCGGTGGTTATAAAATCACGCGAGAGGTTAAAACCTGGGCTTAATTTCTGCCAGGGCAGAACTCCAGAACATATTCCCCTGCCACTTTCAAATGGAGGCGGTGGGGGGGTGGCCTGAAAATATTCCAGGAGAAATTAAGCCTTGGCTGGAACCATGTGGGAGGAAGACGAATGTTGGCTGTTATGTCTTTGACCAGCGTTTGTGTTGTAACCGTAAAAATTAGTTCGTTGTGCTGGGTAATGAGATGCAGCAGATAGGAGGAAGGTCATAGCCTTTGAACTGTAGTGCTCGAGAAGACCTGTAGTGCTCGAGAAGACCTGTGGTGCTCGAGAAGACCTGTAGTGCTCGAGAAGACCTGTGGTGCTCGAGAAGACCTGTAGTGCTCGAGAAGACCTGTAGTGCTCAAGAAGACCTGTAGTGCTAGAGAAGACCTGTAGTGCTCGAGAAGACCTGTAGTGCTAGAGAAGACCTGTAGTGCTCGAGAAGGCCTGTAGTACTCGAGAAGTCCTGTAGTGCTCGAGAAGACCTGTAGTGCTCGAGAAGACCTGTAGTGCTCGAGAAGACCTGTGGTGCTCGAGAAGACCTGTGGTGCTCGAGAAGTCATGTAGTGCTCGAGAAGACCTGTGGTGCTCGAGAAGACCTGTAATGCTCGAGAAGACCTGTGGTGCTCGAGAAGACCTGTAGTGCTCGAGAAGACCTGTAGTGCTAGAGAAGACCTGTGGTGCTCGAGAAGACCTGTAGTGCTCGAGAAGACCTGTAGTGCTCGAGAAGTCCTGTAGTGCTCGAGAAGACCTGTAGTGCTAGAGAAGACCTGTGGTGCTCGAGAAGACCTGTGGTGCTCGAGAAGACCTGTAGTGCTCGAGAAGACCTGCATATGCTGTGGACCGCAAGAAGAACCGATGAAAGAGCACTACAAGAGTTTAGTGCAATGGCTCGGCTGTACACTGTCATAGAAAGATGGAAAGTAAAGCACTTTGGACACATGGATAAGTGTGATGGGGGCAAAACTTGGAGAAACTGTCGATGTTTGTTCAAGTGGAAGGAGAAGGAATTGAGAGGCTGAAGGAGACGATGATTGACAGATAGCATTGTAAATGTAACAGGGAGAACAGTAAATCAGTGTTGTAGCAGAGCCCAACATCATGGAGAGGTCACGGATCCCTAGTAATGAATAGAGCAGCAGACAGAGAGTTAGATCGAGTAATATTAATGTGTCGTTAAACTCGCGCCACCACCACCCGACACAGCCAATTACTAAAGTTTGTTACGTAAACAAAACGTGCCACTTAGTTACCGCTTCAGCACACCGGCGTGTTGGAGAGTAAATGCACAACAACATTTACAATTCGAGTACTGTGAAAGATTAGCTGGTGATTACAACAACCAGCTTCGTCAGGCAATAGCCCGAACTGTGACAGGGTGCTGTGCTGTGCTGCGTCTCGTTGTGTCTCGTTGTGTCTTGTTGCGTAACGTCGTGTTCACGTTCCGACAGGCAGCTGATGGACCTGCTGGCACAGGAGCTGGGCACCGGCTGTTCGCTGCACACGATGCCCGCCAAGAAGTGGCCGTGGCGAGCGCGCACCTCCGCCCTCTACCTCTCGCAGACGATCCCTGCCAGCCACTCTTACAGGTGAGGGCGTCTTTTGGGCAGCAGGGTAGCGCAGTGGGCACGTGCGTATGTATGTACGTGCATACGTACGTTGAACTTCTTTCACCACCGTACATAGGCAACCGTGCTAATCGGAGGTGCGGGGGGGGGGAGGGGAAGGACAACAATCTACTTGTCCTTCACGGCAAGAAGGGCCTGGATTCGATTCCTGACTCGGATGCATCTCTCCGTGGGGTTTGTATGTTCTCACCCTATTCTCCATGGGTTTTTCCCTGGGGTTCTCTGGTTTCCTCCCGTAGTTAAAAAAAAAAACATACGCAGTAACTGGCATTGGCCAAGCATCCCAGAGCTGAAATATTAGCTGCAAATTTGTCGGTTGCAATTGCACGTGGTAATCTTGCCCCCCTCCCCCCCCTACTACTCTGATAACTTGGCAGAACCCTCCGGAAAAAAAAAAGTGTCTTGAGGCTTCCCTGGGTAAATAAGCTATTCAGGTAATCAAGACCTCCATTACCACGTAAACTAATTTGTATTAAATTTCCACGTGGTGTCTGCCAGACCATGGCAGGCATCAGCAACCACCCCCCCCACCCACCCCCCCCCCCCCGCAGTGCAGCCTTCTTCAATTACCGGCCATCAGGAGCATGCGACCGATATGTAACGGCCTGATTTGCATACGAATGGACAAACAAAAAAAGATCGGTAATCGTAAAAAAAACAAAGCCGCACCGCAGGAGGGGGCTCCGCGCGGACCGGAGTTTGAGAGACGCCGGCTCGACTTACAAGATGGGCGTTCGCTCGTTGTGCGCGGTGTCTGCATCTCGCAAAGGTGGCCTCCTGTCCTCCGCTTCCGCATTCGTTTGCATTGCGCGCGTAGTGGTGAGCGTGCTGCTTTGTGCTGTCTTGTGGCTTGAACTTAGGAGATGGGTGTGTTCACGTATTTGTGCGCGCGCCCATCTGTGAGCTCGTTCCTGATGATGCTGCCCCACGTTTTGGATGCGTGTGCCTGCCTGTTTGGTGGAGCGGGAGTGCAACGGCTACCCGAGTTCGATTCCCGCTCACGGCCAACACCAGCGACGGTTATCTGAATCGGTTCTGGGCCTCCCCTAGGTCGGCTCGGCCTCAAATGAGTACCTGGTGCGGTGTGTAAACATCGTCACTGGGGGGGGACAGACAGCCACCCTCTCATGTGCAATGTCGGCTCGCTAACAGCACTTGCCCCAACAGTCTGTTACGGCTATACGGGGATTCTTTGTCATCGACCTCAGTTTGATTCTTGGACATGGCCAGCATCAGTGGCGAGTGATTGCAGACTGTTTTTCAGGCCTCCGCTGAGTAGTGCGTGCTGTGTGGTGTGTGAAACAAGCAGCATTGGGGAGACAAAGGCAGTTGGGCATAGTTTCAGCCACACCACGAACTTGCGTGCCATCCCCGGCCTTAATAGGTGCTCGTTAACAGCACCTGCCCAAATAGCCTATGTTGGCATCACGTGGGATCTTTGTTTTATACCTATTTGTGATCGGTGGCATTGTGATTAGTCGCTCTTGCTGTACGAACCCAGTGGCCTAAGTTTGATCCCCAGCCTCGGCCAACATTTAGTCGTGAGTGATTTCAGAACCTATCCTATGCCAACCCTTGGTTGGCAGCTGCAACCGTTGAGATCTGCTGTACCGGGGAGACAAAGGCGGCCGGGCGGGGCGGGTGCGGTGCTGGCTACGCCACCCCCCGCGTTTCGGTGCCGCTCACGGACAGCACTTGACCCCCAACGGTCTGTTCAAGGCCACACGGGGGATGGTGTGTGTTTGCGTCTGCACAGGGTGCTGTTCGCCAGCTCGGTGCTGAACATCGCTGAGGTCGTGGCGCTGCGGCCGGACCTGGCGACGCTCCACAAGGTGCTCTACTTCCACGAGAACCAGCTCGTGTACCCCGTGCGCAGTGCCCGCGAGCGAGACTTTCAGTACGGATACAACCAAGTGCTGTCCTGGTGAGTACCGCTGGGGGCACGTACGGGGTGCGGGCCTACCGTGCCGCCGATTCGCGCCGGTGAGACGGAGGGCCACTTTGCGGGTGCGATGCGAGCTTGGGTACAAGCGCGCGTCACGTAGAACAATTAGCTGGTTTTTTTAGCAGGCGAGGCCCGCTGAGCTATGTAGCTCTTTTTCAGAAGCGACCAGGGCGCAAATGATAGCCTCAACGAAGTGGCTTGTCGCGTGAACATTTATTGCAGCCAAATACTTTGAACGGCGTATTGATTCTAAATGTGGAGGGAAAAACCTGGAGGACCCGGAGAAAAATCCACGCGACCACGGGGAGAGAGACGCGCAAACTCCACATATACAGCAGCGGGCGTCAGGGTCGGGATCGAACCCACGACCTCCTGCATACCAGGCGAGGTAGTTAACATCTCACCACCGTGGTGCCCCATGTAATGGCACAACTAAGTTATCATGAGCGTCGTGGGGAGTATGATTATATCTGTCTCTGCACATTAACAATTCAAGTATCTTATGCAATTTATCGGTCGAACGGCCTTCTGCGTATGTCATTTCAGCAGCATTGATTCAGTACTTTTGTCGAAACCGATCCAGAGTTTGCTTGTACTGAACCACTGCTGCTGAAATTTTGCACTCCCTTAAGGCCGTGCGGCCGAGGGGTTGTGTTGTAAATGTTGCGAGGAGAGACAGATGTGTGATGGAGATATATTGCCTATTTTGTTATCTGCGCATGGTTGTGATTTAGGCAACACGTGTTTGCATTGCACTGGTGGGAGTAAGTAAAGATCAACTTCTGATATAAGCACAGTATTTCAGATATAAGCTGCACAGCTGGACTTGCTCCCAAGAAGTGTGTTTATATCCGGCTTCTAATTTCATTGCTCCATCTTTCTTGGGCTTAATCCTCTGTACCAATCAGCAATAATACTCCCTAGGTTTTTCTCAAAATGTTAAATTTCGCTTTCCTGCTGGCTTGCTGCTTTGCTTTTGCTGTTCTGTGTTTTGTTTTTTTTCAATTTCAGCCTCACCGCAGATGTGGTCGTGTTCAACTCGCGGTTCAACATGGAGTCGTTCCTGGGCTCCATCTCGGGTTTCATGAACGCGATTCCCGACCATCGGCCTCGTGACTTGGAGGCTGCCATCCGTCCGAAATGCCGCGTCCTTCATTTCCCCATTCGCTTCCCTCCCTCCAACAGCCGGTAAGTCCGCCCAGGCAGGATACATCGGTTCGCAGCAGTTTATCGATTGGCGGGTTCGCATGCGCGTGGAGTGAAGTGTGGGTAACTCGCAAGTCGTACGTGAGACGTCTGACCACCGTGGAATCGTAGTCCAAGAATACCGTCCAGAGCAGCGGTTCACAACCGGGGGTGCACGGCATGTCCCAGGGGGGTGCGTGAGGGGATTTATAAACGTGTGAAATTATTTCATACATGAGAGTCATTGGTGAATGATCATGTATGAATCTGCCGATATAAATTATGTTAGAATTCAGATCCATATGGTAACCTAGAACAACATGTATGTATGTTGAACTTCTTCCACACCGGTCGTAGCCAACCGTGCTAATCGTACACACTGTGGTTTCCAAGAGTAACCAGCGAGTGCGAACAAATTACGTCATCCACGCAGAGCGTCTGTTGGCTTTAGTGTTATTCGCTTGCAGTTCCTAGCGAATTTATGAACCGAATAGCCACGTGCTCCATTGACTCAATAGCACCTTGAGTTTACCAACGGTGTACCTTCGCTGACGTCCGTTCGGTAAACAAAGACTCTTGAGACTTTTGCCGTGCCTCGGTCAACGGCAGAGAACGCTAATTTAAACGCCTCCCAACAGATCAGGCCACCCGTATCCATCAGTGTGGCCCGCTAATGTTAGCGCGCACGCACGGATGGGGCCGCCCAACCACCCCCCCGCCCCTCTCCTCCCTCCCCCATTGCTTTATATAAAACGGCTGCTTATAATAATAATACGAGATGATGGAGAGGGATTCCGGTTTGTAATTCCCTGCTGAGATTAGAGACGAAGAAATCCGCGTGCGTGCGTGCGTGCGTGCTGTTTTTTTTTGTAACCAATAACACGTCCTCCCCCTCGCAGAGGAGCGCAGGGGTTTTGGAATCTGTTGGGCCCGTGTTATTGCAAAAAAACGAAAAACACACACGAGGTATAAAAATAGAGAGCGTTTCAACAAAGGGAGAGCCTGTCTCTACACAGGCCTTACGTCAGCAATTCGGTGATGTGGCCATTGCTCTCCGGATATGACGATCCCTGCTGATAACCGGATGTTTGCATAAACTTTTGACTGAGAGCGCCGGGAATCGGCGGTCTCAGGACGCCTCTGCCGGAAACTGTTTTGGTGGGAGGTGGTGGGGCGGGGAGAGAGGAGGGGAAACTTTTGAGGTGATTGTTTTAAGTTTCAAACACACCCCGGCACGGTCAGAAAGACGATAACTCCCACCCGCACACCCCGTGCACGCGCACACACGTACGTGCACACCGTCAGGGGCTTCGACGGTCAAGTAAAATGGGTCATTTAGCCAGGTTACTGTGTCACGGAGTGAGACGCTAGTGGATACATCAAAGACCGACGACGCTGACGGTCGTTGATGTATCCACTGCCGGACGAAGCCCCCCCCTCCCCGCCCCAGTCTGTCGTTACCTCTACCGGTTGTGCGATGTAACAACAACAAGGGTGTGCCCGCACGCGAGCCAATTGCATAGCTCCGTCTCCGAGGTGGACGTCGTCCTCCTTGCGCGCGTTCCCTCCGCTGCGCCTCGCAACGTTGGCGTCTCACCCGTGACCCGCCTGCCAGCGAGCCTTCGGCACTTGACTTGGCCTCGGAGTGCAGCGGGCCGAGCACGAGTGGTCATATCAGCGTCTCTTCGTGGCGTCTGACGGCCGTTGTTGAAGCTAAATTATTTTGCCAAACAATATGGATCCTCTGGAGAAATTCATGTACACAGCATGCTGATGTGTTTTTAATGTACGTCTTTGGTTTTTATTTTTTGCTAATTCAGTTTTCTGATATTCGAGATTACGCGAGTTGAAAGATGTACGCTACAAATGGGCCAGTATACGACGGTTTGCCGTTTTGGTCGCCCGGGTCACTTGCAAATGAGATGCACCTGGTTTCTTGACCTCTCATCTGTTTAAACAAAAGAAACGTTACTTGATCAGCACTTCGCAGAACACCAAACGCGTACACACCCCACAGATGGACGAGGAAACGGCAGTGGGCGTGAGCTACTGCAGGGTGATGAGGATTTAGATATCGGCAGTGAGCGCACGTGTGCTGGCTACTCCTGCATTTGTTGTCCTGGGAACTTGTTGTGAAGAAGAAACTCCCAGCACGAGAAACAATACTTAAAACGAACATATATCTTGAAATGTAATGACCTGTCTCGTAATACAGCCGGAATATGTTATCTTGGATATATATTTATTTAAACAACACGTGGGAGTTTGTAAAGTCCTGCGAAGGCAAATTAAAATGAGACTCTGGAATGTTCACAAATGTTACAACATTTGAATGTGTTTTTCGATGCTCCCAATTTGACTTTCGTGTTATTTTAATGACACAGCAAACCAGTACAAGATGTGGATGTTTTTTTTTACTATCATTTTTGCTCTTACACTTTCATTGCTTGTCATCTAGCATTAAGTCATGAAACAAAAAATATACTTTCATTACAGAATAGAAAATTTGTGAAAAAATATTGTTCTAACTGCCACCGATTTTGTTATGAAAAATGTAATGGCGATTGTGCCGTTTTGTGCCAACGAATGTCCCTTTCGTGTAATGCTGTGGGCTTCATCCGTGCAAACGCCAATGAAGCACGTGCTTGTACGACACGGTACCAAGGTAGAGGGGCAGCCCTGCACTTGTTAGTTCACACTACTGCTCGTGGAAGGGCCCTCCAGTGGAGGGAGCTCTAGAGAGCAGCCCTCGAGAGGATAATGCGGCCTCACTCTTCCATGCTGGCCCGATATCTTGGAAGATGTGCGAGTACCCACACTTTACCCCACTACACACAGCCTTCCAATCAACTAACTGTGGTTGCACCGTCTCTGTCCACCCAGCGGTTAGACTGCTGCGTGGACAGAGGTGGTGGTGGGGCAGGGTCGGAGGGCGATTTTGGGAAACTCGCACCGTTGCTTCAACTGCCGTGGTGGGAGAGATGGAATCGAACTGGCGCGCTCTGCATTGCCGGCCCAGTGTGCTGACTTTTACACCACCGTGGCAGCGCCTCACTGTGTGTGGCGCTGCCACGGTGGAGAGATGTTAACTACCACGCTTTGTATACAGGAGGTCGTCAGTTCGATCCCGACTCTTGTGTATTTGGAGTTTGCGTGTCTCTCTCCACGTGGCCGTGTGGATTTTTCTCCGGGTCCTCCAGTTTTTCCCTCCACATTTAGAAACGTGTGTTTAGAGTATTTGGCTGCTATACATTTCCACGTGATGATAAGCCGCTTCGTCGGGCTACCGTTTGTGGCCAGGTCGCTTCTGCAAAAGAGCTATGTCGCTCAGTGGAGCCTTACCTGGTAAAAATTTTTTTTTTAAACAGTGTAGACAACCAAGGTATCGCTCAAGGAGATTGTCTGATTCTCTTGCACCTCGTTTGATGAAACAAGTTTCTTTCAGGGTGAGCCAGACGATGCGTTTGGGAGCACGGAGTCAACCACGGAAGCCGACATCCACTCTCCCCGCCAAGGTGTGCTGCCTGCCCTCAGTGCCTTCCCTCGCCTCTTCTGCCCCCCGTAGTCTGAAACTCCTTTCCCACCGAACCTTCCGCGCTATCAGCTCTCCCACCACTCCTCAAATACAGGCTCGAGACCTTCCTCCTGTCCTCTGCCGATGACTACTTCTGCGTGCTTAAGTAAACAAAGCGACTACGGGGAGAACACGCAAACTCCAAATATACAGGCGTCGGGGTCGGCATCGAACCCACGACCTCCCGCAGACCAGGCGAGGTAGTTGACATCTCGCCACCTGCTTTTACAAGCTTTCTCCATCACTCAAGATTTGTGTAAAGCGCTTTGAGGCCCTAGAAAACGAGCTGGTTCGTGATTATTATTAATATTTAATGTGATTCTAAGTGTTGTGAACGCTGTGGCGGTGCGGTGTGTACAGGCGACCCGGACTGGACTGGGCCAGCCGTGAATGATGAGAAAATTCCCTGCGCTGCTTCCGGACCGTCTTTGCCTCCTTCTCCTCGTCGTGCGAGAGGAGCTCAGCCACTTCACATCCTGTGGCCTCACCGCTGGTACGCTTACTGCGTTCGTTTTCACGGTTTCAAATTATTCATATTTGTTCCGCATGATGGAGAGATAGATAGGGAACGAAAGAAAAAATCAATCAATCATCGCAGTTTTCTCTTCTGCTGTGCAAATGTTTTATTTTTTCGACTTGCACAAGCTGAAACTCTGCCACGTTTTTGACGCGGTCGTCGTGAGCGGTCGCGAAAGATTTTGCCGGCGTATGTTTTTGTTTGCGCTGTGCTTTGCGCGCCGATGCCTCGTTTTATTTCACGAAACAATGACAAACGGTCCGACGCGGAAACACAAACGCTCACCGGCTACGCCGCCGTCCATCGATATAGGTGCAGGAATGGAATTGTTTGAAAAGAGTGCGTGTAGGAGACAGCTCAATCTTGAGAGGCCATGGGGGAAGGCAAGCCTTGCCTGCCTGCCATTCTGGCTGCATGCAACTTTTCCTCATTCACTCTTTCGCTCGCTCAACCCCACTCGCCACATCCCCTCCCGTCCCAACTACCCACTATTCGCCCCGCTCGCACGCCCGCCCGCTCGCTCGCTCACCCGCTCACTCGCCCGAATGCCCGCCTGTCTAGCGGAGACAGCCCCATGTTGACAATGCTGGCTGCCGCTTCCACACACACGGCTCCACACGCCGCCCTGCGCTCCTGCGTTCTAATCTCTGGAGTACGACATCAAACGCAAGTGAAATTTAAACAGAGCTGGGATTACAGCCGCCCGCGCAGAGGCGCAAACGGCCGTGGAGAGCGAGGGGGAGAGAGAGAGAACATCAGCGGAGGTATAAAAAATAAAAAAATGGGAGAGCGACGAAATTGGAAGGGTGGTTTGGTTGGTTGTGGGAGGGTGGTGGGTTTGGTGGGTGAGTTCGTGGGTTTGGTGGGTGGGTGCGACTCCGTAGCCGTGACCTTGCTTAAAAGGGGGAGGTCATACAACAAAAACTCCTGCGGGGGCACGACACAGGAGATGGTAGACAAACTTTACGCGAATATTAAACCCCAAACAGAATGAGCGGGAATGCGATATGCGTTTGTCTGTCGTGCCCTCTGCCGTGGCTCTCACTCGCCGTGTGTGAGGAAAAGCTGCGATACCCATCGCTTCATTGTAGATTGTCTCGCAATTTGTTCAGTCCCCAATTTGTATATCATCATCATCATCATCATCGTCTTCACACGAAGCTTGCAAATTCAAAGGACACTGTTGCAGATCAGTCAGTGTGTGCATGCATGAGCAGTCATTACAACGTGTGTTAAATAATGTACCAACATTTTTAATATGTTACCATTATTTTTTTACTCCACATGACACTATGGGAATTGGGACTATGTGAGTGGGTGGCTGGAAGAGTGGATGTGTGGGTGGATGTGTTGTGATATGGGTGGCTGGGCAGGTGAATGGCTGCGTTTAGGGGCAGCTGAGTGGGTAAGTTGTGGTTTGGGTGGCTGGGTTCGGGTAGCTGAGTGGCTGGAGAGTGGATGGCTGGCTGGTTGAGTGAATGGCTGGGTGAGTGGATGGCTGGGTGACTGGCTGAGCGGCTGGGTAGGTGCATGGCTGGCTGAGTGGGTGGCTGGCCGGCTGGGTGGGTGGATGGATGGCTGGCTGGCCTAGTGGATGCATGGATGGCTAGCTGAGCAGGTGGCTGGGTGGCTGGCTGAGTAGCTGCGTGGGTGGATGGCCGAGTGGTTGGGTGGGTCGGTTGTGGTCGAGTTGGTACGTGATGGAAATCCCGCGCGGGAGACACTTCTGAGCGTGGAGCAGCAAGCCACTTGATGCTTTTTTCATCTTCGTATAAACCCCCCTCGCAAACCCCCCCCCCCCCTCCAATCTGCGCTTGTTGCCAACCCCACCACCTTCCCGATGCGCTGTCGCGAGATTTGTGTGTGTGACAAGTCAATTGTGCGCCGGGCCCGGCACGGTAATTACAGGATTGGACGGATCGCACCGGTGTCCCCGCGTTTCCATTTCGCTGCAGTCGGCCTTTTGATGTCGGGGCGAAAACACAGAGTGCAACCAGCCGTTAAAGTACACCGCAGAATTGGCTTTCTCGTCCCGGAAGATTTGGAAAATGAATATGGACAAAACAGAGTAATCTGCTTTTTGCATGTTTTGCCCGACCGTTACTTTATTTTTTATTTTTTTTTACTGCGGCATATATTCTCGCATGGCTGGCATAATCTCATTTGGACATTGGACCCCTCGTGTAGTTGATGTGCGGGGCTTATGGAGCGCCGGCGCCGCTCCGCTGGCCAATTGAGCGTTTCTGAGCGGAGCGACGCATCGGCGGTTCCACAGCTCGGAGAGTCGTCGTCGTTCGGCAGAGCGCGTGGCAACGAAATTTATTTATTTCCCCCCCCCCCCCCCACGCTCCCGGTCCCCCCCGCCTGCCACTTTGCCCGCTTCTGATCAGATACGGGAGTGAGTCAGCGTGTCTCAGGTGGCGCATCGGCCGGTCACCTCAATTCAGTCGACCGATGGCACCTGGGTCTGTTCCGTGACCTCCCGCCAGCGGGCGGTTCGACACTTCACCTGGCCTTAAAATGCACGTAGCCTGGCACAAGCACCCTGGTGACGTCACCGCCACTTAGTGGCGAATGGCGGTTGTTGTTGTCTCGTAGATCTTGTGAAAGTGGCCATGCCAGCGACGTCAATGACTACGTTTGTTAAGGTCACCTTGACGGCACTCAGAAATGCCCGGCATGGACGATCCTTTTCACAATACGGCATTCACTCGTTGTTCGCGATTTTTGGCTATCCGCAATTTTGGCTACCCGCGATTTTGGCTATCCACAATTTTGGCCATTCGCAATTTTGGCCGTTCGCAATTTTGGCTATCTGCGATTTTGGCCATTTGCCATTTTGGCCATTCGCGATTATGGCTATCCGCAATTTTGGCTATCCGCGAATTTGGCCATTCGCAATTTTGGCCATTCGCGATTTTGGCTACCCGCGATTTTGGCCATTCGCAATTTTGGCCATTCGCGATTTTGGCTACCCGCGATTTTGGCCATTGGCGATTTTGGCTATCCGCGATTTTGGCTATCCGCGAATTTGGCCATTCGCAATTTTGGCTATCCGCGAATTTGGCCATTAGCAATTTTGGCTATCCACAATTTTGGCCATTCGCGATTTTGCCCATCTGCGATTTTGGCCATCCGCGCTTTTGGCCATCCGCAAACGCATATGTAACTCTACGTGACTGCATCGAGAGACAGAGAAAAATTAAGTGATGAGATCATTTTCATGTAAAGCTTACTTACGTATTTATTTCAGGCAATTTTGATAGGCCAATATCATGATACACGAAATTTGCAATTCACGAGCATCTCCGGAACGTATCCCTCACGATAACGAGGGAAAAAATGTAATGGCAAAAATCAGCCGTGGTCAATCCACTGCTGGATCAAAGTCTCCCCATGCCTTCGCCATCTCTCGCAGTCCTGCATTGTGACGATTCACCCCGCACCTGCGTACGAGCTGATTTCATCGCTCCATGTCCATCGTGCACGTCATCTCTTGAGTGTGTTTTTTTCTCCTTTAGCTGCCACTATTGTTAGTCTCAATCACTGGCTCATAGTCCTTGTTAGAGACACGTCCTCTCCACTTGCTTTTCATCACGGTCAGTACGATGTACCTAATTTGCTTACGTTCTCAAATCCATAAGGTCCTCTTTCTATCGAAGCAGTTCCAAACGTGCGTCTGTCCATGCTTCTATGCGCACTTTTCAGTTTTTGTTCAGTTTTCTCCGTCAGTGTCCAAGGAACTGTTTATCATCATTATCGATGAACAATGATTCTGACGCCCACGGTAAATAAAACATTTATACACGCGATTAATTGAACGTTTGACCGTTGCGTTCACTGCAACGTTAGAAAAGGATCGCTCGCACGGGCCGAGTCGTGCCCCTGAATCGTTGCGAGAATTTCTTTTTTACCGTGACACCTCTAGACTGCAACAAAGCAGCCCAGCGGTGTTGCACGTCGACCGCGTTACAAACAAACGGGTCTTGGCACTGGAACAGAGATTCACACTGCAGGCTCGGTCCCTTGGCTTCTGGAGTCCCTCGCTGAAGCGTGAGTGGGGACACGGGCCCCCCTCCTCCCATGTCCCTACTCATCTCCCGCCCGACGGAGGAAGCCGTCGTCACGCCATCGATTTTGGAAGTTCGCTCGCGAGTCTCGCAACGCGAGAGTGCCTCTCGCGCTGTACGGAGCGAAATGAAGTGGCGTCTCCACTCTGCCGGGAAGGCAGGGGACGGACCGCGTGACCCGGTCGCCGAACTGATGACTCCCCCGACGTGCCACGTGCACGCACACTCGCGCGCGCGTGCCCGGTGGAGAGAGGTTAAGCATCGCTCTGCGCCGCGACGTGTCGCAGGAGGCCGCGCCAGGACGGTGGTGGTGGTGGTGGTGGTGGTGACGGCGGCGGAGGAGGAGGAGCAGGAGGGGGCAAGCGTCGCCGACCCGAGGGATTTATTTCGCGTTAATGTGCGCACGGGAGAAGGAGCTGCACTTTTAACGCCGCGGCCATGTGGGGTGAATTCTGAGCAATACGGATGAGCCGTTAATGCAGTAACCGCGGCCATGCGATGGCACGTGTTGAGTAGAAACAGAAAGATGTGCGCGTGCTACTAACGTACGCTGCAATTTCCCGCACCTCCGATTAACACGGTTGGCTACGTGCGGTGCGAAAGAAGTTCATCATACATGCGTACTATGTCTTGAGCTGAATGCGTGTCGCAAATATCTAATTATGGAATTTGCAAACGCCCTGTGTGTGTGTGTGTATAAAACGGTGTAATGTTAATGCACAATATGTATGTCTATGTATATAGAATAGACGCGTCTGGTTAACCTACGTTTTGTTACGCACGACGTAGGAAACTGAATGAATGCCCGCCGTGAATATCTAATTACAGAATTTACAAACGCGCGCCCCGCATGGGCATGTAAAATGAATGGCACAACGCGCGCATCAGCGCGCCGCGCACTTTTTTAACACGTGCGTGCGCGCGTAATAAGAAACGGTTTAAAACAAACACCGGTTAAAGGGCGCGGTGGAGAGCGGGGAAAAATTAGCCTCGCGTTTCAGAGAGCACAGCCCGCAACTGACCGCAGGAACCCTCGGGGCGGAGGAGGGGGGGGGGGGGGGCGAACGGAATTCAATTTGCAGCCGTTTAGCGCAAGCGCGGTGGTGAAGCCAGAGGGTATGAGTCTCATTAGGTGAGGTGTGCGCACTCTCCTGCCGTTCGACGCGCGAGGTGCATCATCCCCTGATGCTCCACGGTGCAGAGTTTTGCACCTTTTCCTCGGCGCACGGCACGTAATGTGTAACCGGTATCAATTAGCATTCCGTTTTTTATCGCTTGCTTTAATACGGATTTATTACCGGTCTTTGGAGCATAGCTGTGAAGAAAGGCGGCTTATGTGAGCTGCTGTGCTAATCATTTATAACGTTTTCATTCTGATCAAAGTCAAGGTGAACGAACACTACTTGGGATAATTCTTTAGAGGAAAAAAAAACACATTTAATGTTGTCTTTAATTGTGATTTATAAAAGTTTTTTTTCTCTCCCCCAGTTAAATTCTCAGTATGCTATCGTGCTATCGTTGTGCTATCGTGTTATCGTTGTGCTATCGTCGCTGTGCTATCGTCAGTTGTTGTGGTATCTGTGCTACCGTCCGTCGTTGTGCTATCGCCATTGTGTTATCGTGACGCCGTGTTACGTAATTTCCCCCCGGAGGTCACTTTCACTTTGACCCCCGTCATGCCTTTATTAGGAGACACATTCCAATGCGCTGCAAATATTGTACGCTTCATGTGAAACTGCCGTTAATTCTCACGGTTGGATATAAGCCAAATGAAGAGCAAATAAAAATAATAATTGTGCAATCATTTTAGACTGGCCTAAGAACTAGCAACTTGTCACCCTTGAGAATCCGATTTAGTTACGCGCAGTTTCCCTGATTCACACACGCGGAGGTCTCAGTGGTGCCTGTTGATTTCTGTGACCCCTGAAGACAACCCCAGCCACCTCACAGAAGCTCCTTGCAAACGTGCCGACGGAAGCAATACGCCTTCTCCGAGGAGTACGGTATTGGAGAGTTTTTAAATGTTCACCAAAAATTACTTGTACTTGCGTCACTCGGGAAATATCGAGATACATTCATTTCGTCCATGTCCATCGGTTAGCTATGTGAGATACCATGCGATGTCGTGCAGGAGAAATAATGACATTGAGGGGCTTCCCAAAATATACACGCCTCTAGGAATTTTGATTTCAGTCCTTAGCTTTGCTGCGGTGTTCAAAGGCGAGAGCGACTGCTCGCACAAGCTGGGAGTGCATGCATACCAGTCAACCCATACGGTGTACCCCATATTCTTGTACAGGGAAATTGAGTTTTCAGGCCGTTTCAATACCGGCAACAACAAAAACAATGTCTATTTGTTTGTGTTTCTCCCTTGTGATGGAGCTTTGTAGGATGAACGTTGAGATTTATAAGGGGCACGGGGTGACCAATAAGGTCTGAATCGGTCTGTTATAAGGTAGGGCACTGATAATGGGTTGACAGATTTGTGCATGGCATCGAAGAAATTGTCACGTGGAACTCGGGGAGCAAAAGTTCCTTCTCAGTTTCACGAGGAAACTCATAGAATAGGAACTTGGGTGAGCGGCACACAAAACCCCTGTGGGAAGTTTTCACCTTTGAGATTCGATTGAATACGCGAGACTTTGACCTCGACGCTGTTGATGGGGGGAGCCCGATCTCGCTCCTCCTCTAAACTCGGGTGCACAGGGTTTCGGGACTTATTGCCGCGGAGTTTTCCGCACCCCCTCCACGGCACGGTTTGTGCTCTCGCACCGGGCTGCTACTGTTAGTTTGTTTTTATAGGAACTTCGTCAGGGGGCAGACAGACCGCGAAAGTCTCACCCTGAGAGCCGCATCGAACCCGGACGCGCAGCACCCAGCACATTTCGCGATCTGCGGCGTCTTTTGCCGCCCCCATGGCAAGGCGTGTTCAAACGTGGACCCGGTGGGAGAGGAACCCGCAACGTGGGAGGAAAGCTGACGAGTTCTGTTTAGGGCCCACCTGCCTAGCTGCCACTACTCGGGGGGAAGGGTGCTAATCCCGCACGCCAATGAACAGTTGCCCCCCCCCACCCCCCCCCCTAATAACGCTCATTAACATGCGCGAGGTATTACCGGCAGATCAAAGCGAGAGAGGGGGGGGGGGGGACAGCAGGGCAATTAATCTTCAAGTTACAATTAAGGTAATCCTAGGCCGTGATGGGAAAAGCGCTTATTAGAATCCATCACTGCGGCGGACGGAGAATTATGGCGTTTTGCGCACCGCCGTTCGCAGCGCTCATTATTACGTGCACACCCCCGTAATGTAAATACGGCAGGCTGGCGGGCAGGAATTATGAGGCGGACATTTTGGAAAATAATGGGGATGTTTGAAGTTGGCGGGAGTACCTTTGGGGGTTGCGTGGAGGGGAGGGGACCCGAAATTCTCTCTGCCCTTGGATGCTGAGCCACGCAGTCACTGGGACATCCAGAAGACTGCCAGCGCTTAATTTGCAGCAGATGCTTAGAAAGGAACCTATGCAAAAATGTCTCCTCGCTTTTGGTTTATTTAGCTTTGATTTATTTCCAATGTAAGTAAATCTCCCGTCTTTATTGTCCTTCGTGGGCAGTGATTTTTTTTTGTGTGTGCGCGCATTCTTTTTTTCTCATAAGGTCATGGGGTTTCTTTAAATTAACGTGTTTTATTAACATTATTTCCGTTTGTTACAGGGAACACGATAAGAATCCCGAGCTCTTCTTCGAGACGTTGTTCAAGCTGAAGGAAGCGGGCTGCTCGTTCAGAGTTTCCGTTCTGGGTGAAGCCTACAGCGTGGCGCCATGTAAATAACCACACCCTGCGCATGTCGCATCTTCATTGACCTTTAGATCATTTCGATTATTTTGCTGATATAATTGTCCAAGTAATAAGCCACTTTGTTGAGCCGTCGTTTGCGATGGGCAGGTCGTGTTTGAAAAAAATAAGGTTAACATCTCAGTGGGCTCTGTCTGATTGGTTGGGGATGGTTTCGTGTTGTATTTGTTGTGTGTTTGAGTGATTTGTTGACCTTTCTTGTACTGTGCACTCCCGTCGTGTTTTTTTTGTATTGTCTGTTGTTGTAACGTTCTTACCCGCCCCTACTGGACATCTGTGAACAAGAGCTTTACAGCTCATCGGATTCCTCCAGCATAAATAAATATGCTGATTCATTGGCCATTGCCCTCGTTTTTTTTGTATGCTCATCGCACGATAAACAAACCTCCCTCGCAAAAAAGGCGATTTCGGTACGCAGAACAAAATAAAAGTCTCCCCCCCCCCCTCCGCTCGTCACCGTCCCAACGCAGTTGGACAACGACTCGGGTTGAGAAACGGTCAAAGCTCTCGGAATTCTCCCTCCCCCATCCCCTCCGGGGAGTGCTCCCCGGTTCCGTTGAGTAAAAGTCCCCCGCGTCGTCTGCCGCCCGTGTGTTTTTTTTGCAGTTGGCTAGTAAAGCGGGGCTCCGAATTGCCATTAACTTTGCCGCTCCGGCTAAATGGCTGGGGCGGAGTGGGGTGGTTAGTGGCGGGGGGGGGGGGGGTGAACGTGGCGGTTGGGTACGAGAAACGTGGGGGGGGAAAGGGGCTGGTGGGCGGGGGAGGGGGCACGCGTGTGGTGGTTGCGGAGCGTGCTGCTGCTGATGCTGCTGCTGCTGCTGTCATCGGCGTTTCAGAACACCGGAGCAATCCCATTTACCCAACGCTTGTCGGCTATCGCACAGCCCCGTGCACCCATCCGCCCCCCCCCCCCACCACCGCCCTCCCCCTTTTAATTCCACCTTCATTAAGGGCGGCCTCGATACGGGTTGTGAAATGAGGCGTGGAGCTGCTTTGATTAAGCTAACTGCAGTGGCGCGCTTGTAACTTGCGCGTGATATCAGTGGGATGGATGGGTCGCTATGTTGTGCTGAGGCCAGCATAAATGTGTCCAGGTCTAAAGGAAGCGCCCACCCCCCCCTCACCTCCCAACCCCCCACTTCACCTCCCCCACAACCGTATCCATTCTTGCCACTGCTTGTACTTTCACACGTGACAAAACCCTAGCCCCTGCTTGTATTTAATTTTTATTTTATTTCAATCTTTCTTCCTTGACCACCTCCGCACTGGCCAGGCTGGTGAAGTGTCGTCAAACAACCCACCATGGCCAGCGCAGTGTGTGGGCAGCCCTGCATCCAGCAGTCGAATTCACACAGCGGATGTGCACATAGCGTACACCCTCTGCGGTACGCGTTACTGTGCGGCGGGCTTCTTTGCGCGGCAAGCGACAACTTCAATCGTTGTTTGTCGTCGCCGCCGCCGTCCACGATCAATCCACTGCTGGACGAAGGCGTTCTCTCTCCCGAAGCCGCCGGTGACGGCCGAGCCTTTTGTTTTCTCGTGCGAGCGACAACTCCCGTAACGGTGTGCGAGTGGTTTTTTTTTGCGTGGTTTTTTTTTGTCTCCTCCCCGTCAGGTGTTTTCGAGGAGGCTCGCAGGCGGCTCGCGGACGAGATCCTCCACTGGGGCTTTCAGGCGAGCCGGGAGGACTACTACGAGGTCCTCGCGGCGGCGGACGTCGCCATCTCCACTGCCAAACACGAGTTCTTCGGCGTTGCCATGCAAGTCTCGTTTTTTCTTTTCTTTTTATTCTTCGTTGTTTTTTTTGTGATCTCTTTCGTGGTAGAGGTCAGAATCTGCAATCGCGGAATCATTTTAGGCCTGGAGGAATCCGATGAGCTGTGAAGCTCTTTTTTTCACCGACGTCCAGTACGGGATGGCCCTGCCGAAGTCTTGCTCTCGCCAACCGCTGGCCTGGTGCAAAGGGCCTCCCAATGGATGAAGCTCAAGAGAGAGCCCCTGTAAACGAGTGTCTTTTTGGCCAACTATTGTACACGTTGGCCAGGCATCTTGAATCATCCAAAACGTTGTACCTAAGCCCGATTTTATGTATTCCCCCCCCCCCCCCCCAGTTTAATCCGAATATCTGGAACACATCCCTAATGGCGGCTAAATGTAGGGCAGCAGTGGCAATGCATTAAGGGGAATAAAAGTGACTCGCGAGATAGGGCTCTAGGCAGAGGTGTAGATAGTGTTCTAGGTAGAGGTGTAGATAGGGCTCTAGGCAGAGGTGTAGATAGGGCTCTAGGTAGAGGTGTAGATAGGGCTCTAGGCAAAGGTGTAGATAGGGTTCTAGGTAGAGGTGTAGATAGGGCTCTAGGCAGTGTAGATAGGGCTCTAGGCAGAGGTGTAGATAGGGCTCTAGGCAGAGGTGTAGATAGGGCTCTAGGCAGAGGTGTAAATGGGGCTTTAGGCAGAGGTGTAGATAGGGCTCTAGGCAGAGGTGTAGATAGGGCTCTAGGCAGAGGTGTAAATGGGGCTTTAGGCAGAGGTGTAGATAGGGCTCTAGACAGAGGTGTAGATAGGGCTCTAGGCAGAGGTGTAAATGGGGCTCTAGGCAGAGGTGTAGATGGGGCTCTAGGCAGAGTTGTAGATAGGGCTCTAGGCAGATGTGTAGATAGGGCTCTAGGCAGAGGTGTAGATAGGGCTCTAGGCAGAGGTGTAGATAGGGCTCTAGGCAGAGGTGTAAATGGGGCTCTAGGCAGAGGTGTAGATAGGGCTCTAGGCAGAGGTGTAGATAGGGCTCTAGGCAGAGGTGTAGATGGGGCTCTAGGCAGAGCTGTAAATGGGGCTTTAGGCATAGGTGTAGATAGGGCTCTAGACAGATGTGTAGATAGGGCTCTAGGCAGAGGTGTAGATAGGGCTCTAGGCAGAGGTGTAGATAGGGCTCTAGGCAGAGGTGTAGATAGGGCTCTAGGCAGAGGTGTAGATGGGGCTCTAGGCAGATGTGTAGATGGGGCTCTAGGCAGATGTGTAGATAGGGCTCTAGGCAGAGGTATGGAGGCAGTGGATGAATCGGGAAAATGCCACCATGTAATTGTAGCCCAGGAGTCGGTGAGAGTGTTGTCGTTTAATTATTTGAGTGTGGTATCCGCAGGCTTGAAGCGGCACACTGCGGATGCTACCCTCTCTGCCCCGACGCCCTGGTCTACCCCGAGATCTTCCCCGGTAAGGTCACCCCGGCTTGCTTCACAACACTGTGTGTTGAGGGTAAAGGCGCAGCCCCTGCAATCTGCTGCGCTTCACCCAAACACCTCATAGGAGGAATTAAGGCTTAAAAATAAATGAAAAATGTCTGTACAAATGGGTTAATTGAAGGCAGTGTAGTAATGCTGACGATAACCTGTGGATATGATGACCTGATACAAGTATACGGTTAAGTAGTAAGGTAAGTACAGAATGAGTCCTGTATATAAATAGTAGGGCGAGTGGTACAGTGTATATGCAATAGGAGTGGAACAGTGCCCTAGCTCGTCTCAGCCTCAAAAGAGTACCTGGTGCGGTGTGTAAACATCGCCACTGGGAGGACAAAGGCGGCCGGGCGTGGTGCTGGCCACCCACCCCTTCGCGTGCTTGTGCCGGCCTTCATAGGTGCTGCTCGCGAAGAGCACTTGCCCCTACAGTCTGAGAACCCGCGCACAGCCGCTGAAGCAGCTGCAAAATCTTTGTGCCCAGCCTGCCTCACTGCCACAGCGGTTCGCGCACTAAGCTACGAACCCGGCGCCCTGAGTTAGATTCCCTGCCACGGCTAACACCTGGTGACAGGCGAGGCTACGATTTTAGCCACGGAGGTCACGGTGATTAGAACATTAGCAAATTTGAAAAAGTCCATTAAATAATGAAGTAAATGAAACAGCTGGAGAAACATATTAGATTTGGCGCTTCCTTTATTTTTCTTTCCAAAATCTACGTAGGGAAGGTGGGGTGGGAGGGAGTGGTGCTACGCCAACCTTACTCCGTAACATCTCCACGAATTATTGCTTTTCCCACCTCCGCAACTGTGAATGCGCCTTAAAATAACCGTGTCAAAATACCGTAGCCCTTAAGCGACGAGTGATATCCCAACCTGTCCTGGGACGCTCCAACCTTCAGCACCTTCACCGACCCACAGCCTGTCCAGTGTGAAGCGTGATCGATTAAACCCCCACGGCACTGTACGGCGTCGGGGAAGCCTTCACCCAGCAGTGGCTTTACAAAGGGGCACGCATTATTACAATTGCTTGTACTGGTAGACAAGTCTCTTACGTGCGCTCTGTGGTTTTTTGTTTTCCCCCCCTCGCAGCTCAGTGTCTGTTCAGGACACCCGCGCAGCTGCTGAAGCAGCTGAGATATCTGTGTGCGAGGCCTGCCTCACTGCGGCAGCGCTCGGTCAAGGTTGGTTTTTTGTCGCACGCGGCTCACGGTTGACGGGAAATGAAACGTAAATAGGTGAAACGATGAGAATAGGTTTTCCCCTTTTTTTTATGGCAACAAAACAGGTGTTAAGATGTTAAAACCACAAACCGAAACCTTTTACAAGGAATCATGTCTGCATTACAATACTTGTGGTCAGAATGCAAACAAAAAAACATACTCTGATAATATATGGCACTGTCTTTGAAAGTGATTGGTCCACACCAGAGACAGCTTTCTTTTGAGCCTTGTCTCAAAACGGTGTTAGACCAGAGGACGCCAAAAGGCATCCTCTGGTCTAACCACATGCCCTATAAAGACACAGACTCATATACTAATATAGGAACCCATAGCTAAACATAGGATCCATAGCCTCACATACAGACCCATGTACCCACATAGGGTCCCAATACTGCCTCTCTCTATACAATAAATATGCCCACTGTTTCTGTACAGTATGTTGAGATGCTATATAAATCCAGTCAAGTCGAGGTCATGCTTTTTCATGTGTTTTGGCACAAATTGATCAAAGCTCGCATATATATTACGTAAGACTTGGCTTGTTTCACCGCGTACAAATAAAATGAAAGTTGTTGGTCCATCATTCTACGCTGCTGGAAAGCAATGGCCCCAGAAGGACCACGGGCTGGTGCAACTAAATATTATTTTTTTAAATGTATTTGGTTTATCTTTGTGTTTAATATAGTCAACCTCAACAGCACATAATAATATTCTTGGTTCTTTCAGTAAATTCACGTAGAAGGGAAACAAAATAAAAATATAAAACAATACAATTATCACGTTTCGACTGCAACACAAGCAATCATCATCAGGTGTGAAAACCACAGCAAGAAAATGTACTTTACCGAAAGAGCCAAGAATATGAATCCCTGCAGTCACGAAAGCTTTAAATCTAAATTTAACCAGTACATAATTTATATTTGTAATGCACACCGTATTCACTCAATGTCGTGGAGAGAGAACGACTCAGAGATGTGGAGAACCATATAACAAAAATAACTTTTTTTTACCAGGTAAGGCTCACTGAGCTATATAGCTCTTTTTCAGAAGCGACGTGTCTATCGCAAATGATAGCTTAACGTTGTAGCTTATCACGTGGAAATGTATATCAGCCAAATACTCCTAAACGCGCGTTGAGTATAAATGTGGAGGTACAAAAAAAAACACGGAGGACCCGGAGAAAAATCCACGCGGCCACATACAGGCGGGGAAGGCATCCACGCGTTGAGCCGCCGCCAACAATTGCCCAAGCTCCACGGTCGTCGTCTTAATAACGCGCTAGCGGCCAATTAATGAGCCGTTTACACGTGGGAGGAAACCGGAGAGCCCGGATAAAACCCACGGTGCAATACTGTCGCAATGGGTGGAGTCGACATGTTTTTCTGTACTCCCTTCTCCTGGCGAGCCAGGGGTATAATGCCACCTCGACGCCCGCGGGAGAAAGGGAGCTTTGCAACGTCCGTGCGATCCACCCGCCCTCGGCCGCCTCCACCGGCGCTGGATTAATGGCGTGCGCCACCACCCGCCCAGTCCGAACAACACGCTTTGTGCGATTATGCCTGTGGCCAAATCACGTGGAACGCGCTCGATCTTGTCAGATCTCAGAAGCTCTGCAGGGTTGAGCCTCGAAGGGTGTCCGCCACGCACAAAACGAGTGGTCACGGGTTTGCTTCCAACTGCCGAACCCCACGAAGGTCGGCCTAAACTTTGTACACGCATGGGTGCCCCTTTAATCAATCCACTGCTAGATGAGGTCCCGCCACCACACCGATTGGGCCGTAGGGGTTATTTGACAATACTTAACCATGGTGGTCGGTGGTGGCGGGGAGCATGTGTGTGGGAGCCACAGTAGAGTACAATGGATGTTGGTGCTGCTGCTGCTGCTGCTACTGCTGCCCTCTACTGCCCGTCAATATAGCCCCCCACAATGCAAGCCCCCCCCCCCGAAAAGTTTGTCACCAAAACGCCCCTCGAGGAAATCGCAGACCAACTCGCGTAGGCTTTCACGTTTTACACACCACGTGCTGGGAGCTTGTTCAGAAACTGAACGTTCAATTCGTGACAACGCATCGGCAGGACGATACGGCACAACCGCGCGAACCTACGCGGCCGTACATTTGACCAACATTCTCGGGAGAGCGATTCACACGTGTTTTTGGTTTGCAATACCCTCTCATGCCGCGGGGGGGGGGGGGGGGAAGAGATTATTTGGGAACGATTGAGTTCCCAGAATGTGGAGTGAAACGTAACACCTAGTGTCGCACAATACTCGGCACGACTCGAAAACGCATCGGGAGAGCCAAGCTCTTCTTTAGCGTGGGCTGGATTGAAAATAGTTTTCCCCATGCAAAAGGGATCCAATGGTGAGCATTGTAACTACAGGAAAATATTAGAATATTCGGAAGCCACTGGAGCTATGCACTTTTAAATATAGATTGAAAACAAATTTCTTTAGAACTGCTTTTTGTGTTGAGTTTGTCCTTTCTCCCGCACCCTCCGATTAGCACGGTTGGCAACGTACGGTGCAAAAGAAGTTCAACATGCATACATAGGACCTTCAGATTCCTTTGGTGGGCAGCCACACACAAACGCTTAACTCAACGATGTGGTCATCTTGACCCTTCTGCCACAGATGGACACAACCCCTTTCTCCTGGGTCACTCTCCGGCCACAGTACTTGTCGCTGCTTACGGCACCAGCTGGACTTGCAACGGATGGGCGACAAGTGGACTCTGCATCCCCCTCGGAGTGACTCTTCGTTTGTGTTAGTAATAATATCCAAAAAAAAGCCTCAACATGACTGAAGACTTTTTCACAGGAGGGGCTTTTGGCCACCACAGTTAGCCAGGGTGCATGGACATAACCATGCATACAAGGGCATAACAAAGCCTTACACAGATGGAAGCGATCTTCTATTTGCTGTACTTGCAATCTCCTGGAAACTTGGCAGTTTTATGATTTTACATGGACCAGCAACCCTTGTCTCCAAAGTGCAAATGCCCACCAAGTGCTGTCCTCAGCACAACTCACAACCTCCTCTCTATACCAAGGACCATCGCCGCCCGGCGTCTGGAATGCCATCCCACTGCCACATTCGCAGCAGCGTTTAGTCAACACCGACCCTTAACCCTTTCCCCTTCCGAGACGTCTGCGAGTTGCAGGGTGGGCGTCCCCCGTCCACCGCTGAATCTCGGAACGTGCAAGCGGTTGGCATTAGTTTCATTTAGAGGCGTAGCACCGTTGTATTTACAGAGGCGTAGTGCCGCAGAAAACTGCAGCGACACGACCACACTCTGATGGCTGGTGCCAAGCTGTGCCACACGCCCTCCCAATCTTGTGGGAGGCTCGGTAATGTCTTCTGACTAGAAAATGTAAGTGATAAACTTATTTTATTTTTAAATGTCTTCTGATTTCAGGGTTCAGAGAAGGTAAAGGCCCCACCATGTTTTTTTAAAGACTGCCTCATTCAGCTGGCTTTGCTCCAGACCTCAGCGTCGTGGCCATCTGTATTACAAATTGCATTGTCATTGCTAAACACCGGGGGTGGAATGTGAATGAATCGTCGTACTTCAGGACAATTAATTCAAGAATGTATTTTCCTACATCTTGAATGGAGCAGCCTCTAGCGGCTGGAAGGTTCATGTGAATCTATTGCAATGCGAATCAAAATGTATTGATGCTTGTATCGGGAGCTAAACATTTTTTAAATCCTGAGCAAAACACGTTCCACCTTTAGTATTAAACCCAAAGCCAGACCAATGTTTAGATACGAGGGCTGTACAACAGAGAAATAGCATCAACACCGCAGGAGTCTTCAGAGTGTGACTGGGTTAACATCTTTAATAAACTGGCAAAAATACTGCTAATTTCAAATATGTTAACGATGCCAAGAAATCACACGCATGCCTATGAGCGAAAAAGGAATGATTTCAGGAATTCTGGTTGAACACCTTTTACATTTTCAACGTTAACAAAAAAAACAGTGTTATAGACAATGTACAAGAAATGTCTTTCACAAATGTTCCACAGTTACTGTATTTTTTAATCTGTCGCAATAAACTCTTGGAAATGTCTTTGAGAAAAATACTGCAGCAATTATTACAAGCATGCTAAGCAACAAATACCCGGGGCACTGTATGTGCTAAATGTCCTCCCGATTTTTGAATCGATGCAACAAAATCCGAAAATCGGGCGACGATACTCGCTGTCAGATGGGGAAAAATAATTGTTCCCAAATAACCCGGAATGCATACCGTCACAGGAAATGGCATCGCATTTTACGCCACCTGCTTGTTTTTCCCCACCAAAGGTTGTCACGTGTCGTCGCTTTTATTAACACGGAGACGCGTTAAATTCTTACGCGACGTAAATAATCTCAAAAGTACTAGAAGGGAAACGGACATCTAAGTTGTCCTTGAACATCTGACGCTCGTGTCTAGTATGTACAAAGTTTTTGCTTCGAGATACAAAAGTATCGATTTGGTCATAAAAACCCAGCAAGCTTCAGCGACAACAAAAAGTTTCAAATGACAATATACAATCGAAAAGAAGTCTGTGACCGGTGACATTGACCACTATCTGACAAATCCAAGTCCACCGAAAGGTCAAAGTATTAAATACATGCAATTTGCGGGATAACACCACGTATGGCAAAATACTGTATAAACATTCCAATACGTTTATATATACTTTTTTGAAGACTTTTAAAAAAAGCTAAACTCCAAAAAGGAATTGTAAATCTGTTTAATAAAGTCAATCGTTTTAAGGTTGGTACTTTTCCTGCTTTGTTTTCATCAAGAATTTTACATCTTATTGAGAAAATGTTTTTAATCGAACCTTTGAATCTTCTTAGCAAAGGATAAAAACCTACCTAGCACAAATTGTCTGTCGTTTTCTACTCAAACGAGCAAAGAGTAAACACTCATTTCCTGTTGACAACCATCAGCCAGTGGTGAGAATTCCATATTTCTATACCTGCCATATTTCTGTTTTATCGGCTATATTCTATGGCAGGTTTAACATTTCTCTGGGAGGTATAATAAAAACAAACACACTAGGCCTGTAATGAATCGTCCCCCAAACTTGATTCAATGTTTCCCACAATTCAGGATCGCGATTTCATTTGGAAAATCAATTGTTTCGGTCTTTTTTTGACCATCTATGCATTACCAAGTCTCGTTTGTACATTCTCATCAGGTTTAAGTCTAAAGTTAGCATATAGTTTTCATACATTATAAACAATTTTTACCATCCGCAATTCGATGATTGTATTTGAGTGTAATAATAAATACATCTTTGCATGCACTGCCGATTTGCCACAGTGGTAACCATTTTATCCATACCCCCACCCCGCTCCCCCCCCCCACCTGGACTCGAACTTACAATTCTCACCATTAAAATTACACCACCCAGGCTAATTGCCTTAAGCATAGTTAATGCACATGTACAGCCTTTTTGTCAATCCCACCGCTATGGAGGGGGTTAATTGACCATACTTCACCACTCGGGGTATGGATTGTGAAAGCATAAAACGTTGCAGCGCAGTAATGCAGTACAGCAGTGCATATTGCTGCACTGCCCTCTGCTCACAACCTAGCCCTACAGCGTCCTACAACGCATGGTTCATGTTTGATGGTCACTTTGTCCCAGCATTATCCCAAACTCAAGCTTTGCTCAGCTTACCATAGACCTGACAAGATCAGGCACACATTCCGGGGAATTTGGTCACAGGCATATCTGCAAAATGTGCAACATGCAGACTTCTGTATAGAAATGCAACTATCGTACAGCAAGACAAAACCGACGGACACACGCACACACCAGAAATGCTGTGACTGGATGAATGCTGGCACTCTTCTAGAACACTGGAAGATTTCAGTAATATATACAAACTCATCAGCTTGCATGCTTTTCCTTATCCCTGGTGTGATTCATGCGTACAACGTGGCAATTTCTGTACACCGGGCTGATCAACGTCGATTAGCATTGCTCTCCGCCAATGCAACTCGGTCTCTACTATAGTACACACACGTGAAAAAAACAAGGATGCATCTGTAAATGCGGATTGCAGGCCGGTGCCGCATACACAGAGTACCGTACAGGTACAAGCTACCACTGGGGGCTTCCCTTGCCGAGGTTGCAGCAGGGCATTGCGAAATGTTTGAGATGAAATGCGATGCAAGTCTCTTTTGAGTTGCCTGCCTAGGCGCTGAAGCTCCCTAAAAAAGCAAACCCTTAACCTTAAATCCTCAAATCTTCTGCATTTGTTTTTAACACAGGCAGCGCAGGCATTAATTTAAAAAAAAAACCGTTTACGTGCCAATGTTTCATGAATCGACGCATTCTGTTTGTTTATAGCAAGGCTGGCGCTCGCTTAAGACGCTTCTCTCTCTCGTCCCACGCGCAGTCGTCGGCGGCCCAGAGGGGTTTGCGAGCCGGCTCGCACTCAGTCCGTCCCGAAGATGTTGTCGCACTCCCCGAGGATGAGATCCACGATCTGGTTCTGGTAGACCATGTGCACAGCCATGTTCCCCGGGTCCACCTCGGGTCGCAGCAGCGTAGGCGCGAACACGATGGCCATGTTCTGCATGCTCATGCGGTTCTTCTCCCCGTGCGCCACCACCCTGCGCAGACACGGGGAGAACGTCTCGGTGGTGAAACCTCGCAGCGGGTTGTGTGGGAAATGTCTCCCCTTGTGCCACTGCGAAGGTGTCGTTGCCGACTGTTAGGATCACAATCACGACATTTATACTGGAAAAATTCGATGAGCTACAGAGCTCTTTTCACAGATTTCCGGGAGATTGTGCTGCGTATCTCTTCGATGCGTCTTCGGGGTTGTACCACGTGTTCTTCATGGCAACGTCCTACGTTTCTACTCCACACAATGGAAGCTTCTTCATTGTCAACTTTCAATGCATTCTTACGTGAATTATGATATCAAATAAAATATTGCATCGTAATTTAAATGGATCTAGTTTTTTATCTCATCTATAAGCCGATCTAATTTTGACTATAAAGTTAAAAAAACTATTTAAAATATATGCTGGTGTTAAACAAAACTCAAGAGTTGGAGGTGAAATTCAGTTTGAAGAATGGCTATTAATACAACAGCCACTTCAGCTTGTATGTATATAGAACTTTTTTCACACCCTACGTAGCCAACCATGCTAATCGGAGGTGCTTGGAGTTTACACTTACGTCTTTAGGTGCCTGATGAGAAACTTCATGGTGTTATGGTTTGGCAATGGAAGAATATTGATGAGATCCTTCATGCATTTCACCCGGTTATGATATTCGAAAATTTCTGAAAAACAAAACATGTATCACGCTTTAAATATGAACATTGAGAAATCTGAATAGCCTTCGCTTAACGTACTTCCATAGAGCAGTCGATACCAAGGGAAGCCACTGGTCAGAACAGCCATGAATTATTTACCCCGGAGAGAAAAATGCTACTTGCAGCCATTTCTTAGAAATGTTGGCGAGATCAATATGGAGCCATGGGCCAACTGACATTCCAAGTTGTGGGGCAGATAATTGTCTCTCATGTTTGATCAAACAATAAAGAAAAGTGGTTTATTAACTTGGTAGAGATGCCCCACAGCTGTTACATGCCCTCCAGCCACCAACAACAACAACAAAATCTCACAACTTGTGATCTTCCATGCTAAGGCAGTGGTTTAAAACCAGACCTGAGGTGTGCCTCGCTTTCCATAACGCCCAAAAGAGTAAAAGGCAGCTTGTACCACAGCAGGTGCCTGAAGGAAAACGGAGGCACTGCCATACATCAGTTATCTGAAAGAGTGGGGCTTTTCACTCTGGATGTTGCCGTGGTGTGATGGTTAAACAACTGGGCTTGCAATCCAGAGGTCACGGGTTCCATTCCATCTCCCGGTCGAGCAGTTGAAACAACAATGGCAAAGTTTATTAAACCTCATCCACCTTTATCCAGCCAGCAGTGGAAATGGCTTCACCACAGTCAATCGGTAGGTTGCATGTGATGGTAGTAAAGTGTGGATATCCCACCTCTGCCAAGACTAACGGTAAATGGTGTTAGGGAGCACCTATCAAGGCCAGACCAACTCGTGTGGGGATATAGCATGGCCAACATCCCACCCAACCGCCTTTGTCTCCTCAGTGCTGATGTTTACATGCCGTACCAGGTACCCGTTTATGGCTGCATCGACCTAGTGAAGACCCAGGACCAGTTCGGATATCACTTGCCACTGGCATTAGTCATGATCCGGATATAAACGGGTGTTATAATATTCAGTGCGGTGCATTAACCACTGCACCACCACTCTCCATACAAAGATCCCCTCCGTGTATAGCCTTAAACAACTTTTGGCACAACTGCTGTTAGCGAGCACCTGTAAAGGCCGACACGGCACACGAGGGGGTTGGGTGGCCAGCACTCTAACCTTTGCCTTTGTCTCCCTAGCAAAAATGTTCACACACTGCACTGGTGCTAATTTGAGGCTGAGTCGACCTAGGGGGGAGGCCAGGACTGGGATTCGGACTCGGGTAAGCTGGGTTTAAAAAACGTCTTACAAAACAACTTTTTTTATTTTACGAGGTAAGGCCCACTGACCTATGTAGCTATTTTTCAAATGCGACCTGACCTTAAATGGTAGCTCAACAAAGTGGCTTATATCATGTGGAAATTTGTAGCATGAACAAATAATCTAAACGCACGTTGATTCTAAATGTGGAGGGAAAAACCACGCAACCACGGCGAGAGAGACATGCAAAGTGCAAATACACAGCAGGCGTCAGCATCGGGATCGAACGCACAACTTCCTGCATACCAGGCGAGGTAGTTAACATTTCACCACCATGGCGCATTACCGCTCCCCACTCTCCACACATCAAAGCACACGCACACACAAGCACTCCAAACACAGCAGATAGCCCCCAGGACCCAGCTTGATAGTATAGTGCAGCTCCCACGAGACAAGGTCTGGCGCCCTGGACACTAAACAAAACTGATTCATGCTGTACACGGGGGGGGGGGGGGGGGGGGGGGGGGGGCAGCAGACAGCCCAATTCGTTAGCACGTTTGACAATTAGGCATATTGCGAAGGCTCAAAGGTTTCAAATTCGACCCTCGCATGGCCAATGCCTTGTACACCATGGTGCACCTTTCTGCTAAAAGGTGAATGTTAAAAGGATCTATGATATCACTGCAATTGTGGGCTATTACTCACGCGTGTCTGGGACCTTGTGACCCGAATCTGCCAAAATTATAAAATGGCCCAAAAAGTGGGAATTACTAAGAGTGTGGGTCAATGGCAACGTACATTACTGCGGAGGTGCTTAAGGATATCAATACGACTGTCAAAGGTGCTTTCATTGGATTGGGCTCAGTGTTAATTCATCAGCTAAAACGTTTTTCAAGATTATGATGAGGACGATGAAGTTGGTGATAGAAAATGAAGCTGCTGGAGCTATAGTAAGCACACTACACTACACTGTACCGCTCGCTCAAATTCACCCTCTTATGTGCGATTATTAGAAGTCACAGAAAATAATAAATCTAATTCCTGCGGATAATAAAAAGAAAACTAATCTACAATTTGCCTATCTGCAACGATGAGATCTGCCCACTTCATCACCGATAAAAAGGAGTTTTGTACATATGTATCTTGAACTTCTTTTGCACCGTACATAGCTCACCGTGCGGTGTGCCAGTGAGCAAGAGCCCAAAAACAGCAAGCGATGTGCATTCCCCGCTGCGAGACAGAAATGCAGTGGAAAGTCGAAAGGTTTATCGAGCATGGGTTTGCATTTACGATCAGGTGCGGGGGAAGGATAACAAACTAAACACCAAAAAAAGTAGTTCAAAGAATCGGTTGTCAATCTAGATTTAAAAGTGCATATAGCTCCAGTGGCTTCCTGACATCCTAATATCAGAAGGGTATTATTTTACTGCAGTTGCAATGCTCACCATTGAACCCTTCTGCATGGGGGGAAAAAAAAAAAACAATTTCACGCTATAACAATGTGCACAGAGAGGGGAAAAATCTGTGGTTTTTCCCAGATTTTCTGTCGACTCGCCCATGTAACACCGTCAAGCATCCCCCCGACCCAAACCTACAGTCACCGTGGAATGGCACGATTATTATAGAGAAGGCAGATTACTTATGGCGGCGATGAACTGTTCGAAGAAAATGTAGGGGACGAGTGGCTCGGGAAGTTCGCGGAAGAAGAGCTTGAGAGCACCCGTGATAACGTTGATGTCCTCCCATTGGCTGTCATCCAGGTCCACGTGCTCGTCTGCGAGACGGTGGAGGAGAGGGAGACAAATGAGTTGGTGGCGGGGAGGGTGGGGAACTTTACTCGGCATTCAAAAGCAGAACAGCAATACGAGTAAAATCAACGTGCGTTTAAAAACCTCGCACGGTATACAGGAGGTCGTGGATTTGATCCAGATCATGACACCTCTATATTTGGAGTTTGCATGTCTCTCGCCCCGTGGTCACGTGGATTTTTCTCTGGGTCCTGCGGGTTTTCCCTCCACATTTAGAATCAACACGCGTTCAGAGTATTTGGCTACTGCTATCAATTTCCACGTGACAAGCCACTTCGTTGAGCTACCATTTGTACCCAAGGCTGCTTCTGAATAAGAGCTAAATAGCTCAGTGGGCCTCACATGATGAAATAGAATAGTTTAAAATAAAAAGTTTAGTTTTGTTTAAGTAAGCCTGGGGGAATATAGTTTCCCTCGTTTGTTTCTATGACAGTTGTCTGTTCATGCCTCGGTGATTTTACTTTGGTTATTTGGACACAATTAATCGAATTGTGCGCGAGAGATTTCATTAATTTAGATTTGTACGTGTCATTGTTTGTGTGTCCCTGTAGTCACTACACGCACATATTCACCACTGTTTATTTTGTTTCACCAGGTGAGAAATCAATGACCAGGAGCGATCTGGCGCATTAGTCTTCCAACAAGGCACGATGGTTGCTATGTATAATTCCAATCGAGTCCTTTGCAGGTAGTTTTTCAAATGTTGGCAAATTTTGACCCTTATCCCTGATGCTGGCACACAATGGGCCTAACCTTTCGAATGACGGTGGGGAGAATCTTTAACGTCCACTGTGAAGTGGACGGCGAGTAGCATTATTACGGTTAATACACACAACGCAGGATTAATAATGGTGGCCCGCTGGATTTGAACTGTGAACCTCTGCAACAAGAGGCGAACACGCTACCGCTGGGCCATGCCAACGGCACGTTCACCACCGCGTGACAAAATATGATCCTGGAATCGTGACCATGACTTGTTTTACATCAGCTTCTGGCGTGCCAAGCACAGGAGTCAAGTTCATGACTGCAGAGGATGACGATGGCCTCCTGCGGTGAAAAGAGGCAAATTCCCAAACATATATTTTTTGTTTAAATCAAAACTCGAATCGAGCAGTGGCCCTGAGTTGAGACAAATCAATAATTCTCAGGCTGTCGAATCGTTACATGCATAATGGGTTCCACGCTTACGGTTTATCGTTAAATTTTAAAGGTGGTATTTAGTGTGTGCGTGTGATTGTTAAACAAAGGCATGGCAACTGCCCACATGTAAAGTGAAGGCTGTGCGCAATAGAGCTTAACACCGAGTTTAATTATCTCGTGCACGTGTTGTTTAAAGCGATACAAAAAATATATTCTTTTATTATTCTTTAGGTCTTTGGGTAAAGCCACGTAGACATAAAAAAAATGATGTGATTATAAGGAGTTAAAGGAATCCCCCAAATGTGTCAGTTAGTTTTCATGTAATTTCATAGCAGCCGTGACCATCACAGCAGTCCACCACGGTGCCATTATTTAAATACGAAGGTGGTTGAAACTGTGCACTTCAGTAGGCGGCTGACGTTCAAAGTGAGGACCATGACGCTCAAAAGATTTGTGCCGCCCCCGTGGTCGCTCACCACCCCCCCCCCCCCAACCCACCGTGCTCCATGGATCACACAAATCACTCGAGACGCCGGTGTATGGCAGCCAAGAGCAGTTTATGCGAACGTTGACCGCAAGAGGTCACACGTTTGGCACAACAGTCATTCGCTGACTATGTGTGAAGAATTCATAAATTAATCTAGGTTGGTTGTGAAATGATAATGCTGACCAGTGCAGTTACCTACCATGATCCACCATGATACGCAGTTTCTGTATCGTGGCCTGGTTCCCACTCACTCTGTACACACCGTCAATCTCCAACCCTAACACAATGGCATTACAAACATAGCAAGTGATATTCGTCACTTCAGAGAAAGCACAGTTTTCATTAGTTCTTCTAGTTGATGCTGCTTTTTCGACGTCTTAACTCTGAATCATTTATACCATTTATACCATACACTGGACAAAAATTGTTGGTCAAGTGACAGGCGATGTTTACATAATATGGTGGTGCAGCGGTAATCCATGGCTAACATCAATGGCGAGTGATATCTATATCAGTAGTTCTGCCACTCGCAATCTGCACTCATCGGCATGATGAATTACGGTCTAAACACCTACATTACTCACACGGAGGGGGGAGGCCTTCATCCAGCAGTGGATTGTACACGTGTATATATTGTATGCAATGTAACCTCTTCAGCCATTGGAGGTGCCACTGTACATTTACCACGATGAAAGAAAACGATCACACTCTCTCCAGAGCGATCACACTCTCTCCAGAGCGATCACACTCTCTCCAGAGCGACTCACACTCTCTCCAGAGCGACTCACACTCTTCCAGAGCGATCACACTCTCTCCAGAGCGATCACACTCTCTACAGAGCGATCACACTCTCTCCAGAGCGATCACACTCTCTCCAGAGCGATCACACTCTCTCCAGAGCGATCACACTCTCTCCAGAGCGACTCACGCTCTCTCCAGAGCGATCACGCTCTCTCCAGAGCGATCACACTCTCTCCAGAGCGATCACACTCTCTCCAGAGCGACTCACCTCGTCTCTCAATGGCCTCGATGCACATCCTCACGAATAACGGCACCATGGAGTTTTCCCGTTCGCACAAACACGCCAGGGGACAGCCAAACACTTGCTCTGCAAACACACGATCAATCAACGGGATGAGAATGGGCTGAGTGTGACCGGACTTTATAAACTCCACTGCCCAATTGGCCGTAGGCGTTACAAACCAGGGTGGAGCAGATGTTGTGCAGCGCAGAAGTGAGAATGGCAAGATGGATCCCGGGGGAGGGGAGGTCACAAGACTGGGTTGGGTTAACAAATGAAGCGATGAAGATATAAGGAGAAAAGATGTACCCATCTCAGACAAGCTGAATGAAAGCCAACTCGGACGTGCTAGGATCTGCCGCAAGCAGAAGAAGAAAACCGCATTGGAAGAAGAAAAGTATGAATGTATGTAGAACTTCTTTTGCACCGTACATAGGCTACCGTGCTCATCAGAGGTGCGACCTGAGTTGGATCCCCTGCCACAGCTAACATTTAGTGTCGAGTGATGACATCTGAACTGGTTCCGGACCCCTACACCTTCACTAATTCGCACTGACCAGCACTGAACTATATAATTGTGATAAAGTGACAGCCAACGAATGGAACGTGTCCATGAGGTGGAGCGATGGAATAATCTCGTGTGCGGGTGCGACGTGGAATGTTTCATCGCAGAACCATGAGAGGTTGTTGTAGCGTTGGGAGGCCTTCATCCAGCAGTGGATTGATCGTGGCTGAAAATGATTATGTTAAGCCATCAGTGGCATTTGGTGAGCCATCGAACAAAAATGGGCACTGCATCGAGCGCTTTCAGATGCACTTCTGTGGCCGTCTGGAATGCTCTTCCTTCCGATATTAGGAAGCCACTGGATCTATGCACTTTTAAATCTAGATTGAAAACTCACATCTTTATAACTGCTTTTTGCGTTCAGTTTGTTTTCCTTCCCCGCACCATGGAATAGCACGGTTGGCTACGTGCGGTGCAAAAAGGAAAATACCTTTAATGTAGCCTTTGTCTTTGAGTGTCTGCAGAGTGGGTCGCCGGGTGATTAACTTCCTTAAGCGGCTCCTCTTCTTATCAGAGATCTCATTGGCTGGAATCAGAACATTAATGTAATTAGAATATTCAGTGCTCAGGACACAAGGTATCTGGAACGGAATCATCCACTGTTAAAGAACTATAATTGTACAGCAGTTTTCGAGTCAGGTCAATTAAACTAGACACGACACACACGCACGCAAAAATTTGGTCGTGTGAAGATGTCGCTGTACGAATCTCATCCCTATAAAATCGCCACGTGACCACCGGGGCCGTTGGCGACACGCATCGCATTGAGATTTTAGAGAGTGAGATTTTACAGAGTCCCGGATGTTCGCCAACCTCTCTGCTGCGATTGTCTCATCAGTGCCTGGCCCCCCGCCCACCCCACTGCCCCGGGGAAGCTCACGATTCAACCAGCGGGTTCGCAAATTCTGCAAGCTGCAACTTCTACGGATCCCGGTATCAAACGCCCGCAAGCTAAATAAATACGTGCCGTTGAAGATCCCCCAAGTTTTGTGAGGTAAACAACTCAAAGCGTATAAGGAACGCGTTCACCAAAATTGCAACCACTGCTGCCGAGTAATACTTCTTAAACATTTATGGAGGACACTGCATTTTACCGCAACAGACTTATTTAAGCATGCGATTAGTATTCACGAAAGCACAACTATATTTAACTCAATTAACCTGTAATTGTTTATTCAGATGACGGTTCAGTGGCATATTTTAATTTTATCTAGCCAAAGAAAAGCAATTAGCACAATTTGAATTGCTCTAAACCTGTGACACTTCATCATCGTAGTAAGGTGATTTATTTATCATAATTTTAAAACACAAGTCGATTGCACAACCGTGATCTGACGTTTGGCCAGCAAAGCAAAGCTTTTAACTTGAAATGTAAAGTGCAATGCCTTAATAAGAACAATAATAATAGCACCTTACCTTACAATGAAAAACAAAAACAGATGCAGTTTCTGCACAATCTTTGTAAAACAGCTGAACTTACACGTGAATGTTTACGAGTACTGGGAAGCATATTTTCATGGGGCTGGTTAAGTTACACAGCAGGGGTACACAGGGTGTTTTAAAGTCAAACTGCAACTATAACGGAGGAAATTTAACTGTACCCTGTAAGTGCTTTTGTGTAGAATGACCAGTGGAGGGCGCTATGATCCCGAACAAATTATTTGACAGGAGGCGCAGTGGTTCGCGCACTGCCCGATGAACTAAGTGACCCCAGCTCGATTTCCGTTGACCATCTGAACCGATCTTGGGCCCCGCCCCCCCAGGTCGACTCAGCCTCAAATCAGTGCCTGGTGCGATGCGTCAATATCGCCACTCGGGAGACAAAGGTGTCGTGCCGGCATTCACAGGCGCTCGCTAACAGCACTTGCCCCAAGGCTCTGTTACGGCTATACAGATGGGATCTTTGTATGGAGAGCGGTGGTGCAGTGGTTAACGCACCGCACTATGAATATTACAAGCGTTCATATTCGGACCATGGCTAACGTCGGTGGCAAGTGATATACGAACTGGTCCTGGGTCTCCACTAGGTCGACGCAGCCATAAACGAGTACCTGGTACGGCATGTAAACATCGCACCACGCCACACTACACCACACTACACTACGCTACACCACCCCACACCACGCAAATGAAACAAAGGCGGCTGGGCGGGATGTTGGCCACGCTTTCCCCGCATGCCCCAAGAGTCTGTCAAGGCTATTTGGGGGATCGTTGTCTTTTCACAGACGCAAATAACAAAAAAAACTCATTCATCAACAACACTGTCTCAAAGTTAAAATATATGATAGGCGACGTTTCGTGCAATGGCCCTTCTTCATAGCACACGTGTTATGTGCCATAAAGAGGTATGTGCTATGCAGAAGGTCCGTTGCCGAGAACGTAGCCTAGATTTTTCCATTTATGGCCACAGTGTTGTTGACGAATGTGCCGATTTTGATGTTATACTGTAATCTCGAACGGTAGCGCATCGGAACTGATCATTAAAAGACGAATCCACGTTGGGTTTAAACTTTCGACTTTCCACCGCACTTCCATCTCGCAGCGGAATGTACCTCGCTTAGCTATTTTTGGCCTCTTGATCACACTGGCACAACGGCACCTCCGATCAGCGCGGCCGGCTACGCATCGTGCGACAGAAGTTCAACACGCACACGTGCAAACGACGCAGACTCTCCCGAGTTTCGCAAACGAGCCATCGCGCAGCAAGCGGGGAACCGCGGTCGCGGGCGTAGCGGTCGCTCTCACCATGGCCCTTGCGGGAGTCTCGCTGATCCTTCTTGTCTCTCAAGCTCGGTTCGTACGGCTCGTCGTCTCCGCTGACGTCTCCATCGTCGGGCGTGCTCGCTCCGGGGGCAGAGGACGATGCCGGCGCCGCACCCGGCTTCGGGATTCCCCTCCGCTGCTCTTCAGGGGTTGGCACCGGCGTGTCTCTGTCCTGCATTGAAGTTGAATTACAGTCAGTTTTACATGTAGTAGGCTTTCGCGACCAATATTATCCATATGTAGAGTAGTAGTTAGTGACGTCGTGTCACGCTCGCCGTCTGGTACGATGAAGTCACTGATGGTGACGTCATGCACAGGGGGCGGGACGGTGACGTCATGTCCCCCTGGGGGATTTAAGCTGGAACCCGTCACGTGTTCAGGGTCGTCTGGAGAGTCTGGGAACGTGAAGGGTGAAAGTCGGGACCCAGTGTAGGGGGAAATTGGCACCAGGCTAGCGTAGCCTGTGGGTGTGCTAGGGACCTCCCCAGTACCCTTCCCCTGGGGTGTGGAGTGTAGGCAGTGAGTGTGCAGTACACGCAGTCGTGTGTGAAGAAAGGTCTTTAATAAAACTGGCGCAAGCCCCTACGTGAAGATCGGCCTCCGAGTCATCATGTACGCCTCAACACATATAAGAGGGTTTTTTTGGGGTTACATCGCGTAAATAAATGTCGTTAGACCCGCCACCACCCGACGACTCAGCCAATTAGTGAGGTTTGTCACGTAAACAAAACATTCAACACACCGATGTGTTGGAGAATAAAACCCACAACATTTACAATTAACGACACATTATATTTACGCAATCTAACCCCCCAAAAACCCTCTATTATGGTTAATTATAATTGTTAGAACGGATGGTCGACCGTGATGATGACTCTCTTGCCCCTGCTTAATGTCCAGGGTTCTTCTGCCTATGATGGACAGTTCCTATGACAAAATCACCTGGAACAAGCGCCATCGCATTGGATCTCGGTAGCTGAAGCAGGTTTGAGCCTGGACAATGCTTGGATAGAATACCACCGTGCACAGGTTGTCACATAGGCCTCACAGCAGGGATTAGCGCAAACAATCCATTGTTGTACTGTGCTTCTATGCTCCCATGTCTACACTCCCCACCTCCGCCATCCAAGCAGGGTTGGTATTTTTAATGCTCACTGTGATTACCGCTGTTCATTATATTACAAATTATCAGCGACAGAACAGGATGGAAAGTGTTTGAGAGGAAGTACTGATGTACCAGCCTGGCGATCAGGGATCGGATGGACTGGTACCACTCCTGCATCGTGTGGTCGTTGTCGGACTGGAGGAGGAATTCGTTGGCTCCAGACACTGTGAGCTGCAGGTGGAAACAGGATAATTGCCTTTACCATCTCACCTTCACGCACAATTTTCTTTCATTCATTAATTTGTAAAAAAATATTGAGCCAGCTGGCCAGGATCGGGATAAAACCTAGCCCACTATTCACCCAGGCAACTGAAGAGCAGAGACTAAGTGTTAGTAACCTAACAATAACATATTTAAGAATCACAATTGAAATACAAACAACATATATACGGTTTAAAATATATATAAATAAATAACATACAAATCTCATCAACGGTCCTTAAACTATCCGGGACACTGTTCCAGTGCCCAACCAAGGCTGATATTATAAGTTAATTTAAAACACCCTGAGCACCAAACTCAACGCCGCGAGGAAAATGTTTGCAATTTAAAAACAGTCACTTGAACTCCATCGATATGGGCAAATGTTACAATCACACAAGATGTAAATGCCTTGTACTGCTGGACGTGTGGGGACAGGGAGTTTCCCAAGAATCCCTGCAACTTGTGTTTTAGGGAAGTGAAAGTTAATTCAAAGTGATTTCTTTCTCAATGAACATTGAGGTTGGTGTAAATCTCCCATTTACAGCCCCGAGCAAGTGATAAAAAAATCCTCATTCCTGGGGGAAAGTTTGACCGTACGTACAACATCATCATGTTGATCAGTGCACAGCTGGAGAAGTGGAGATCCCAGAACCACTGCAGTATCACTCATTATCATCGTTAGCCGTGGCCGGAAATCAAAGTCGGGTCGCTGGGTTCACAGCGCAATGCACCAACTAATGTGCTACCACTCAATCCCACTTTTGTGAAACAAATCAAAGGCGAGTTGACCACGTGAAAGTAAAGGTCATGCAACACTATTTTTGATATTGCAAATAAGGGGTCAAAAGGGATACACATTAAAACACTGTTATAATTACATACAGTTTTACTGCACTGACACAGCAGTAAAAGTTTTGCTCGAGAACTATAAACTGTGGTCACGTGGAAATTAACAAACAGCACGCGGGAGACCTCACCACTGTAACAAGTATTGGGTTTTACTTTGTTGTAAATAACCGCTATAGGTGCGGGGCGCCTGTATTCCTCAGCTCATCATCCATTGTCTATCTACTGCTGGATGAAAGCCTCCCCACTGCCTCTCCCCCCCGCCCCTCCCCCCTGCCCCCACCCCTTCCACACCACGTTACCATCCCTCGCGGGCCCTGCGATGCCAGCTACAATTCCACCACACTCCTGCAATGGCCCGGTTGAGAGTCAGTGTTTGTCATGCAGGTGGTTTGAATAAAAATTGAGACTATGAACTGCCTGTGAAATTTCAACATTTGTCCTCAAGGTGTTACCCGGATGTTTAGTATTGCCGACTCTAAAAATGATAAAATTAGGGCAATGTGAAAAAGAGTTTAAAATGTTAAATATGATATATATATAAAACCATTGATTGCCACAGTAAAAAAAATCATCATGGTTTTTTTACATCGATCAAAGGTCTCAGGCCCCTGAAAAAGAGTTTCTTGTCTCAATGGGCTTCACTTAGGAAACACACTTCAAATTCTGTTTATTATCATAGATATCACAGATCCCTGCTTTTTGCTCCCGGAAGAATGAATCACTATTCGATTGCGTGCGACAAAATGACACCGCCTACCCACTCCGCTGACGAAACGAAGCGGCCTGTGCGGCGTGCGTGCAGTGCAATACAGGAGGCAATAGTCCATCTCACAATTATACCTGGCACACATTTTTCTTGCTGGACTTGTCTCGCGTCCACTCGATATGCGCCCCCCGTAGGTCGATGCAGCACTCGGGTTTGCTGTTCGATGCACCTTGTTTCTGTCAAAGTCAACAACAAACGCATCGTCCTGAAGAGCACGTGGAAGCCGTGCCCTCGTGTACTTTGCGTAACTTCATATCGCCAAGAAGGGCGCTGGTATCCATTGTGAAACGAGTGGTCGTTGTCGCAACAAAACCCTTTGGATTTCACGAACGAGAGCGTAACTCGCGTGTGTTTAACGAGCCGTTTTGGCTATGTCGGGTGGTGGCGGTTTTAACGACACATTTATATTTGCGCAATATAACCCAAAAACCTATGTGTCAAACTACAATTCACATGATAGGGAGAGAACCATTTAAACTTTGGTGGAGCACTTAGACCTTGCGTTTTATCATTGACTCCTCCGCCAAGACGGGGCGATCCACCAAGCAAAAACGTGAATCGCACCTTCCTTGTTCCTATGGCAGGGACCATTCTCCAAGTAAGACTGCCACCGACTGCTTTCAACCGAGCCAGTGGTGCGTGCTTTGTCAGGCGGTGTTCATTCCACCAACACAAGAGCGCGACAGATTGCAGCATCGCGGAGGGGGATGGTTACGGATGTCGGAGGCGTGGGAAGGCCATAAACGTCACCTATTATATATGTTACTATAAGGTAGTGTTATTGATTAATCTGTTGAATGTTTGTTAATTGTGCTTATGCACCACTGCAAATGCAGCAGCATCACCACATAATTTGTATAATGTCATCATTAGACCTCCTTTGCCAGTACCAAAATGTAATAATAGGGTTTTTCCCCTTTTTTTCTGGCAACAAAACTGAAACCTTTTTACAAGGATTCATGTCTGCATTAACCGCAATATTATTTGTATAATTTCCTTTGACAGTGTTAACTGTTCAGACAGCTACAGGCTTAGTGTTGCTTGGGGAAGCGAATCATCAAATAATCCATTGTTTAAATGTATGCCTATACAGGTTACCATACATCAATGGGGATTACGTGTGTAGTGTTGCTCCGGACACACTTTGTAGGGGGCACGTCTTGATTATACACACGCACCCTAACTACCATACATCAACTGCTCGTACAGGTTATCTGGTGTAGTTCTTCTTCCACTCGGTCTATTATACACACCACCTACGTAGCGTGCCTACCCCGGCTACGCTCCAGGTCCTCCGGCTATAATATCCTATGGGAGGCTGCCTGACCTGACCCAGCCAAGGTACAGGTCCAACTACTGGTTCCTCAGACCTGGCCTTTATAAGGACGGCAGAGGTAAGGGAGACTGCCCAAGCCTCTCCAGAGGTCCGCCTTATATACGTTCCTCAGCCGAGGTGCGAATCTCAGTGGGGGACTCTGGGGTCACCCGCGTCCCCCACTGAGATCCGCATGTCTGCCGTTGCAGGCCAGTGCAGCCGCAGCCCCCCAGCTGTTGGGAGTGTTTGCGAGGGATCGTAGAATCCCTCACAGCCCCCCCAACCGCTTCTGGGCTGCCTGTCGTTGCCTGCAAGTGCAGCCCATCCATGGCGCTACATGTGTACGCAGACAATAACAGGGACTGCTATTTCATTGCGCGCAAACGACAGGAGGCACAAGAACAATGTGCATGCATAATGTGCTTTGATTATCGTATGAATAACCAGACCGGCAATGGATGCCCATTGTAATGTATATGTATTCGAAAACGAAACAGGATTTCTCCACAACTCTGGCTGTCGCCTGATGAAGCGAGTTGTAATTCTCGGCAAAACGTCGTACTCAGATTGTAAATGTTGTGGATTTTGCTCTCCAACACACGGGTGTGCTGTATTAGTAACCAATTGGCATGTTTCCTTTACATGACAAGCCTTACCAATCGGCTGTGTCGGGTGGTGGCGAGTTTAACGACACATTTATATTTACGCGATCTAACCCAAAAAAAACCTGTATTATGAGTGTTAACGATTTTGGCAGGTTTAAATGTGACCCAGCGATGGCCCTATGAGTGGGGCTTACCCATCCAGTGTGGGACTTGGGATCCTTGTAGAGGATAAGGTCGTGTCCAACCAACACCACCCACACATTCGTCCAGTTCTTCCTGAAGCGTAAAAAAAAGTTTCATCACAGAGCTAGCCGTGTCATGTTAAAACATATATTGAAAGTCAAGTCTAAATACCCTTTCTCACCGGCACATCTGAGCCGCACCGCTGTGGGGCCCTCACTGTGTCACACCTGTCAACCCATACGGTTTACCCCATATTCTTGTACAGAGAAATTGAGTTTTCCAGTCCATACTGCGTACAACCGTTTCAATACAGGCAAAAAAAACATGTTTTGTCTATTTGTTTGTGTTTCTCTCTTGTGATGGGACTTTGAAGGGTGAACGTTGAGATTTATAAGGGGCACGGGGTGACCAATAAGGTCTGAATGGTTCTGTAATAAGGTAGGGCACTGACAAGGGGTTGACAGATATGCTGTATGGGTGATTTTCCACGGTCTATAATACCGAACCAAAGCATGACATGCTGGCCCAATAAGACTCAATCTGATTCAGGGCCAAGCAGGACTGAGAGCGGGATTACATTATTTCCGTCACTGCTTGAGACATCAGCGGCACGGTCCGGATTCAGCAGGGAAAGAACCCTGGCATCTCCTATGTCGTGACAGGGCTAGCTCGGCACAGCCCCAGCACGGCTTAGATGTACAATTGAAAATAAATTAAGCGCTCCCATGCTCAAATGAGCACTGGAATGGTAGTGGAATGTTCACACATTCCTATGGCAAGGGCCAGTCCATCCATAAATCAGCCACTGTTGACGTCACACGAAGTGGTACATTTGATAATATAATTCAATATATAACAATATAATAATGGCATTATGTTCAATTCTTAATGTTTGCCCTATTTTAGTATACATTAAAATGACTCCACATGTAATGATCAAATTTAACAACTCTGCTTCTGAAGGTGCATGAAAATTTTTGCAATTACTTTCAATGGTATTTTTTCATATATATTTGAAGCATGATGCAAATAGAAAACAAAAACGGCAGATAGATCACCTACACGACTTCGTTGAGCATATATAAAACACAAATTATTTATTTTTTTTGGAGAGGTTGATGTCTATCGACATTCTAGATGGAGCGGTATTTCCTTTCACTCCCAGGGGTATCGTGATAAGTGGAGCCGACTGGACTCTTTGTATCGACCCCAGAGGAATAACGATCTGGGTCAAATTCCAACCAAGAGTGACACCACAGCGCCACCCAGCTGGACACGTGGTATTGAAATGCAGAATCCCTGCGTATGCCTACAAACCAAATCACCCGTAGCGCGCCCGATATCTCATCAGAACTCGCAAGCTGAGCAAAGAGGTTAAGGCCGGATAAGTGCTTGGATGGGCGACCCACCATGCATGCCAGGTAGTCACAGGCTTCTGGGGGGCGCTGCACTCCATGTGATTCTACACTGCCAAGTCTTTGTTACCACCACCTTGACCAACCCGCACCGACTAGCATGGTCAAACTAAAATAAACTAAAAAAATATATAACAAAATACTTTTTATTTTACCAAATAAGACACACCGAGCTATAATATGTTTTCAGAAGTGACCTGGTTATCACAAATTATAGCGCAAGGAAGTGGCTTATCATGTGGAAATGTATAGCAGCCAAATACTCGAAACACATGTTTCTAAATGTGGAGGGAAAAACCAGAGGACCGGAGAAAAATACACGCGACCACGGGGAGAGAGAGACATGCAAACTCCAAATATACTGGCGTCAGGGTCAGGATCGAACCCACGACCTCCTGTATACCAAGCGAGGAAGTTAACGTCTCGTCACCGTGGCAAGACGTCAACTAGTCAATCAACCACCACAACTCGCGTCGTGTGAGGGAGGGCCCTCGTCCAGCAATAGATTGACAAAAGGTCTGTGTACATGAAAAATCGTGGTGCGTATAATACAGCTGAGTTGACTACATGCTGGAAATCGTAAACTCGAATACAGTGCTTTAACAGGCATCTGTTTTACAGATGAATGGCACCCGTGTTTAGACTCACCGTAACTTCTTGCCTCCCTCTGTTATTTTGGTTTTGTTTAACATGCCAGCCTTTTCCAGGCCCTGTGAGATGTACAAAAAATTCCAGTTTTAAAAAAGGGGACAAAAAATTGCACGGATTTTTTTACCTCTTCTCTACAGAAAAAACAATTACATCATCGACATTTATGAACCTCCAATTATCAATGCCACAATACTCTCCAGCATTTAAAAATAATGTTTTGCTTTTACTGTGATGATCCAGTCAGTGTCCACTTAATGTCAAGTAGGAACCAATTAGTGTTTAGACAGTCTGGTTGTTGGATACATTGCCTTACTGCATGTTACGAAGTATTTATTGTGCATGTCAACAATATTCTGATACTACTTCGGTGATAATTGTGATGAATAATTAAAACTAGTTCCAGTTGGAACCTCCTTTGCCTTTTGGTGTCATCTGGTCCAACACCACGTGAGACGAGGCTCTAAGGAAAGCTGTCTCGGGTGTGGACCAATCAATTTCAAGGACAGTGCATACATTATCAGAGTTATGTTTTTTGTTTGCATTCCGACCGCAGGTATTGTGGTCAATGCAAACATGACTCCTTGTAAAAAAGGTGTCAGTTTTGTTGCCAGATAAAAGGGTAAAAAAAACAATTATCATAGTTCCAGTTGCTTTAAAGGGGAGGGGAGTGGTGGCACAGTGGTCAGCACACCACACTATGAGTTTGATTCATAGCTTCGGCTAACATCACTGGCGAGTGAAATCAGCACTGGTTCTCGGCTTCCCTTATTTTTATTTTAAAGTAAAATATTTTTACAATTCACAGCATGAATACTTTCAAATAATCTTTTCTGCTTCATTCAAAATATCACTTTTTCAACAATGGGCAATATCAAGGTAACCGAAATGTACAGCCCTTTGTCAATCCAATGCTGGATGAGGGCCTCCCCAACCCGTGTGGATGGGGGAGAAGGGAAAGTTGGCCATACTTCACCACGCTGGTCAATACGGGTTAGTGAAGGTGAGGAACTAGGACCAGAACAGAAAGAACTCACAACTCACCGGGACTCAAATTCGGTTAGCCAGGTTCATAGCCCACTGAGCTACCCACTGGTGACTCCATTGGACTCGCTCATAAAATAAGACTTTAAAACATTCTGACCAACTCTTGAAGCACTAAAACATCCAATGCTTCATTTGTTATTTCACATTAAAAAAACATCAGCATTCATGGCAGCATGAGAGGAACCACAGAAGCTGCAACCATCGTACGAATTTGCCGACACGAAGAGAAAATCGAAGGCTTACGGCGGGCAGAGAGAGCGCCAGGTCGGAAATGCTGCACAAGTTGTGATCAGAAGGTGTTCTCTTGTGCCCACCCAACTGCACACAATCATAGTCAATCACGTGTTCATTTGTATATCACAACAAAGATTATGGAGATCCGTACACAAACACAAAAAGAGCAAATCAAACCATGACACTCATTGGAGTAATTAAACAAAAAAAAAACACTCCATTCCTCAATCAGCTTCAAATTACCCGCAATCTTTCACAGAATTGCCGAGCTTACTACAATAAAAATGCGTCCGCCAAAGTGCTACCAAAATTTCTTCCAGCACAAACAAGCAATGGGGATGGAATAATATCTGTTGTTGATGGCGCTTAGCCAGAGGTACAAACTCTATATTCTCTTGGCAGTGGCCAGCAAAAACATAGGCCAATCATATTCTATGGTTCTTTCGGTAAAGTCATGTAGGCATTGTTGCTGCATTGGCATTGCTGCTACATTGGCATTGTTGCTGCATTGGCACTCGTGCACCGCCCATGCTCCTGGTGCTGTTGATACATTTGGGCTACGCCCATCCAAACCTTTATAAACAGTTTACCTTTAGAGGCTGACTCCTTTGCCTGATGACGACTGCTTTTATTGCCATCGAAACGTGATTTGTTTTATTTTATTTTATTTCTAACTACGTCACTTTACCGAAAGAATCAAAGAGTATGGATTCCTGCAGTCACGAAAGCTTCAAATCAGGAATAAAAATAAAGTTAATATTTTCCATTATTTTTTTCTATCTACGTGACTTTACCAAAAGAACCATAGAATATGAATTCCTGCAGTCACGAAAGTTTAAAGTCAAAATATAGGCCAATCATTTCTGAGTTCAATACAGAGCCCGTGGCTAACATTCAGGGCAAGCGTTAGAATCCTGGTGATGGGTAACAGTGAAACAGTGATATCCTGAAGCAGTCAGTCTTGGCCACACCCTTCACCAATGCGCATCGACCAGGAAGTCAGATCAAATAACCCTGATGACTGACACAGCGTGGGAACGTCTTCCCCCGAATAGTGGATTGAGACAGATGGCTGCGAAAAATAATCACTATTTTTATTTTCCTATCAATAAGTTAAATATTTAAAATAATATGATTTTCTCATCTTCCTCCTCTTTAAAAACTATTTTCAATACCATGGATATAATAAAAGAATCGGCCAGCTTCACTCAATTCTGTAAAGGATGGAGTATATTATGTGATTTTTTAAAATAAAAAAAACACGATACACGGTAGCATTGTTTGTACATTATGAGCGAAGACATGGTAAGACATTTCACTTGCAAACAAAATAATTTCGATTGAAAAATAGAAAACATAAAACCACAACAAAAAACAAAACATTGATCTTCACCACCCACACAGGTTTTCACGTATTACCAGGTTGTACCGTGCATTGTTCGGAAAGAACAGCGCTGGGAGCTCCCAGTTTTCAAGTTTATTTTTTGTTCAACAAGGTGAGAACTCAAGAGACCAAGGATAAGTCTCATTTGTCAAGAGTGACGTGCAGCGAAATGTCAAGACATTGTGCTGAACGCAACACGCGGGCGGTACAACCCGGAAATGCATCGGAGGGCTAAATAGCATTTAGCCTTACCTTAGTTTCATGGTCAACCTTGTGGCTAGATGCATCGTTCGCACGTGGGGTAGGTGGCAACACTTTATGATCAGGGACCGTGTTTGCAAGATCATGGTCAGGTGACCACTCGACACCGGTTGATCCCGATGGATCCTAGAAAAAGGGGGGGGGGGGGGGTGGGGGGGAAACACATCATTGTAAATGTACGCGCATGTAAGACGTACTTAGGTGTGTCGCCGCCATGTCCATTTGTCAATCCACTGCTGGATGAGGGCCTCACCCCACACCAAGCGGGTCGCGGGAGTTGGGTGACCACGCTTCGCCACACTGGCGTCGGGTGAGTGGCAGATGTCTGCCAGGTATCGCGTGTCGTGCAAGTGTCACGTAGTCCCATCCTGTAAGGACGGTCTGTCCTCTTCTAGTTAAATAAGTCAAACCATTCGGGCTTCCCACACTGCAGGCATGCTCACGTAACGATGAACCTGCGTGCACATTTTCATTGAATGTCAAGCAGTTATAAATTAATTTACCCATGAGCAAGGCCTTAACAGACTGTTGGCGCAGGTTCTGCGAGTGAACACCTATGAAGGCTGGCACGGCACACGATGAGATGGGTGGCCAGCACCACGCCCGGCCGGCTTCGTCTCTCCAGTGGCGATGATTACACAATGCACAAAGTAAAACCTTGGATTGCGAGCATAATTCGTTCCGGAAACGTGTTTGTAATCCAAAGCACTTGTATATCAAAGCACCCGTATATCAGTTGTGATCACGTGACGCTCGGCAGACAAAGCGTCTATATGTACTACTCGTATTGCAAGACCCTCGCTCGCTTATCAAATTAAGATATATTTTAAAAAAAATTATCATCTTGCAAAACACTCGCAGGCCAAGTTACTCGCAATCCAAGGTTTTACTGTAATTATCACTGGTGTTGGCTGTGTACAGGAATCGAACTAGGGTGGCCTTGTTCGTAGGGCAGCGCGAGCTAATCGCTGCACTACCACTCCCCACTCATTAACACACATGCACAAACCTCTGGAAGTTCCCATTCAGTTCGCCCATCCTCAGTGTAGTAGTAAACTTCACCGGTGTCATCCTTGGACTTCCACCACTGCAGACAAACAACCACTGTTATTGAAACTCGTCACATGACAGAGCCACTGCTGTTTCTTAAAAAGTGTCAACTGGCAAAAGTGGTCTCTTCATGCCACCAATATTAAACAGAGGCAATAACAGCATTGTCAAGTATGTATGTAGAATTTAATTAGCACCATACATAGCCAATTGTACTACTCGGAGGTGAGTACATTTTAGAGATATTTACAAAATTCACACACAATAAATAATCGTACACATGAGGTCACATGAGGTAAAGCTCGGAATCATGCCATGTACAACCAAACTCTTTGGTTCTATTCGGTAAAGTCACGGAGGTAAAAAATAAAACGACAAAAATCACGACGTTTCGGCCACAACATAAGTGGCCTTCATCAGGTGAAGGGATCAGGCTGTCTCGAGGACAGCGCTGGAGTGAAACACAGCCACGCTCAGACCGCGGACCTTTAAGCTGTGTGCGAGGAAACAAGGTGCCTTGACAAAGGAATTAGCATAAAAATTAGCATTTGATTGGCCAACTTAGCATAGAGGTGGTGTACGTGCGGGTGCACTTGCCGTTTGGCGCGGGGGGGGGGGGAGTTTACCTATTGATGGTGTGAAAAGGGAATTTTTAAGAGCTGCGAAAGTTTGGGGTACCACTACTTGAAAAATATACTGTACCATTGAAAATTAGTTTAATGTTTAGTTCGATTTAGAACATCTTTCCAATGGTTGCTTAATTTGAAACCATCTTCTCGGTTGAAATTGTGTCTGTGTTTGTAGATCTGAATTGCCTCGTGAACAAATCTCTGATCTAGAATGTACAACCAAGTCTTGTGACCCCCTGAGATCTGTCTCGTCGTCCTCGCTACTGTGGTCCACAACATCTACTCCAACCGTGTTTTTTTTGGGGGGTTGGGGGGGGGGTAACATGTCACCCTGCGACCAATTGGGCAGTGGAGTAAAGTCTGGTTACACTCAGGCCATTCCCATCCCGTGTGATCGATCTTGTTTGCCGAGCAAGTGTTTGGGCCATCCGCTGGTCATCTCTGTGTGAGCGAGAAATAATTACGGTATCGTGAATAGCGAGGACGTCCACCGAGGCAGTTTAGAGATGAGAGGCGAGTCACTGGAGAGTTTCCTCTTTTAGAGCCCTTAATTTACTGCATGATGGGGGTTTATTTATTTCACCCACAAGCAGCTTTTTATAGCTTAGGTCAGGGACCTCTACATATACTGTATCTGTTTTCAATCCAAATAATTGCACGCCAAGCTACAAGCGCAGCCCACCTTTTCCTTTTCACAATCCACTGCTTGATGAGGAGTTTTCCCATGCCATGTGGGTCATGGGGATTGTTTTACCATACTTCACCGTGCTGGCCATTACAGGACGGTGAAGTAGGCTTGTGGGGGGGGGAGGGGGTGGGGGGCGGGAGGATCCAGGACCGGTTTATATACAGTGAGGGAAAAAAAGTATTTGATCCCCTGCTGATTTTGTACGTTTGCCCAATGACAAAGAAATGATCAGTCTATAATTTTAATGGTAGGTTTATTTGAACAGTGAGAGACAGAATAACAACAACAAAATCCAGAAAAACGCATGTCAAAAATGTTATAAATTGATTTGCATTTTAATGAGGGAAATAAGTATTTGACCCCCTCTCAATCAGAAAGATTTCTGGCTCCCAGGTGTCTTTTATACAGGTAATGAGCTGAGATTAGGAGCACACTCTTAAAGGGAGTGCTCCTAATCTCATCTTGTTACCTGTATAAAAGACACCTGTCCACAGAAGCAATCAATCAATCAGGTTCCAAACTCTCCACCATGGCCAAGACCAAAGAGCTCTCCAAGGATGTCAGGGACAAGATTGTAGACCTACACAAGGCTGGAATGGGCTACAAGACCATTGCCAAGCAGCTTGGTGAGAAGGTGACAACAGTTGGTGCGATTATTCGCAAATGGAAGAAACACAAAAGAACTGTCAATCTCCCTCGGCCTGGGGCCCCATGCAAGATCTCACCTCGTGGAGTTGCAATGATCATGAGAACGGTGAGGAATCAGCCCAGAACTACACGGGAGGATCTTGTCAATGATCTCAAGGCAGCTGGGACCAGTCACCAAGAAAACAATTGGTAACACATTACGCCGTGAAGGACTGAAATCATGCAGCGCCCGCAAGGTCCCCCTGCTCAAGAAAGCACATATAAATGCCCGTCTGAAGTTAGCCAATGAACATCTGAATGATTCAGAGGACAACTGGGTGAAAGTGCTGTGGTCAGATGAGACCAAAATGGAGCTCTTTGGCATCAACTCAACTCGCCGTATTTAGTGGAGGAAGAAGGCTGCCTATAACCCCAAGAACACCATCCCCACGGTCAAACATGGAGTTGGAAACATTATGCATTGGAGGTGTTTTTCTGCTAAGGGGACAGGACAACTTCACCGCATCAAAGGGTGAGAACCTCCTTTCCTCAGCCAGGGCACTGAAAATTGGTCGTGGATGAGTATTCTAGGATGACAATGACCCAAAACACACGGCCAAGGCAACAAAGGAGTGGCTCAAGAAGAAGCACATTAAGGTCCTGGTGTGGCCTAGCCAGTCTCCAGACCTTAATCCCATAGAAAATCTGTGGAGGGAGCTGAAGGTTCGAGTTGCCAAACGTCAGCCTCGAAACCTTAATGACTTGGAGAAGATCTGCAAAGAGTGGGACAAAATCCCTCCTGAGATGTGTGCAAACCTGGTGGCCAACTACAAGAAACGTCTGACCTCAGTGATTGCCAACAAGGGTTTTGCCACCAAGTACTAAGTCATGTTTTGCAGAGGGGGTCAAATACTTATTTCCCTCATTAAAATGCAAATCAATTTATAACATTTTTGACATGCGTTTTTTTTGGATTTTGTTGTTAGTCTGTCTCTCAATGTTCAAATAAACCTACCATTAAAATTATAGACTGATCATTTATTTGTCAGTGGGCAAACGTACAAAATCAGCAGGGGATCAAATACTTTCTTCCCTCACTGTATCAATCGCTTCTGATCTTAGCTGTGACCGGAAATCAAACTCAGGCTGATGGGTTGATAGCGTAGTACGCCAACCACTGCGTCACCATTCCACCCCTTTTGGTATATAGTGTTTTAAATAATATTAATTAAATGCATTTATCAAGAATGTGTCACTTAGTCTTAACTCTCAAAACCCCTGTCCTTCCAGGATGCCCTACAATGGGATATTTGGAAACTTCCTAGTCAGTACGGGTTGATGACGGTAGTCAACATAAACCTTGGAGCACAGAGGTACATGCCTACAATGAATGTTATTACACGAGCCTCTCCATTCTCATAATGTAGCTCCACAGCAGCTTCTGCTGCCTGTGTTTCGCTTTGTATATGTTGTACAGAAGTGACTCATTAACATCTAGCAAACACCATCGGACAAAATGCCAAACAACACGCGGTACAGCCGTAAAACGCATCCGACAGCTGTACTACAGCACAGCCACTAAAACCTACACAGTATTGTGTTTGTAGCATGTGCATGTGTGTTCCACAAACGGTCGTGTAGGGAACGAGTAGTGTTTAGTAGCGAGTGGTAGTGTAGTGGTTAGCGCACTGTGCTACAAACCCGGTTACCCCAGTTCGATTCCCGCTCATGGCCAATATTATCCTAGACGATTATCTGAGGCTGGGCCTCCCCTAGGTCGACCCAGCCTAAAATGAGGGGGGGAGGGGAGGGGAGGGAGGAGGTCTTTGTCTCTATTTTTGTGCCACAAACCAAACCTCACCTTGACCGATGCCCTCTGATGTATGTAAAATTCATCTCCATTTTCATCGAAAAACCGCTCCCAACAATCAGGTAGGTAACCACTGTCGGAGACAACTTCACTGCTCTCTTCTTTTGGCAGTGGTGGTAATGGCTCGTCCGTCGGGGAGACCATCCGCTGTACAGGAATAAAACGATGGTGACATTTGTTACGTTTTCAAACTAAGGTGTACAGTGTTTATGCACGATAACTCTTCACATCACTATTTACATACCGATTATATACTTGTGTCCTTTTAGGCACAGCCATCGATGAATGTCCTGAGTTTGTTAGTATTAAACGTGCTTGCCAATGCACCATAACCAAATAGTGTGATTAAACGGTTTCTCAAGTTTAATACGTTGATAATCTCAGCCCAAGTCACAAAAGACTGCACAAAAAATACTTAACGTAAAATTTAGTTCTCTGACTTAAAATGGCTAAATTTCACCTCTGGGGCTTAAACATATTGGTTTGACTGTTATGTGTTGACAGGGCAAGAGGGAAAGTGCTGCCCGTATTGTGTGGACAGAAGAGGTTATTTTCAGGTATCTCAGAGGTAGCGCTATAATATCCACTTCTGTGGGCCATTCTATAACATGAAGGGTTGCCTCTGCTCTGAGAGATCCGAATGTATTATGCGTCTTATCGGGATAAAATTGTGGAAAAGAAACAAACTAAACTATTTAAAAAAATCAAATATTTTAGGAGGTAAAGCCCACTGAGCTATATAGCTATTTTTCAGAAGCGACCTGGCTATCACAAATGTAGCTTATCATAACATGGTAATTTATAGCAGCCAAATACTCTAAACGCACGTTGTTTATCAATGTGGATGGAAAAACTGGAGGACCTGGAGAAAAATCCACGTGACTATGGGGAGAACATGCAAACTCCAAATATACAGGCATAAGGGTCAGGATCGAACCCACGACCTCCTGTATACCAGGCGAGGGAATTGACATCTCACCACCGCAACGCTCGGACATACATTTTGGTCAGACTTAGGATCGCGGCCCTGCTTGCGTGGCGGCTTCCAGGAGGTCTCGCGCGTTATACGGTTGTAGTAGTAGTGTCTCAATGATTTTGCATCGAAGAGTGTTTCCCAGCCATCCCCGGAAATCTGTCCTCCGGCAACAGTGGACTGTGGCAGGGAAGTAGTGGGACACATTAGCTGCTCGCACAGGAAGAGAGAGAGAGAGACGAAGAGAAGAATCGTGTTAAATAATGAGCGATGTGCAGATGCGTTTTTAATCCAGCACTTTGGAGTCAAGGGTCAGTCTAACTGTTTATATAGCATGCAATAATAATGCTGTGGATTTATATCGTGTCTAAATGCGACCACATCAGAAAATGCTAGCTAGCATTGTAAAATATGTTCAAACAACCCCAATACCCAACACATGGGATGGGGGAGGCCTTCATCTAGCAACATTGACAATTGACCGTTTATTTTCATTTTAAAAATTCCCACGAAAATTTAAGTTAAATGAAAATGCCATACATCACCTTTAGGTCCTGAAGATTTGCATAAACCGGAGAGTCAGGCCTCTTCACCTTGGGCGGTAGGTCCCCACTCGGAGGAGTTTGCTGAAAAACAGAATGAAAAAATTATCAAGGGCATTACCTGCTTTTACATAGAGGAAACAATTTAAAACATGTATTTTTAGCATTACAAAACTCCGGTAAGCTAATCACACATGCCCTTCAAAGGAAGTTACTCGAATGCCACACATGAAGCAAACATAAATCCACAACGAACCTCATCAGACGCGTAATGATTCATGGCCCTAACAGGATCGAGATTGATTCATGAATCAGGGAACACGTGAACCAACTAGAGACAAAATACCTACAGCTGTTCCACAAGCAACTGCTTGCTTGTGGAACAGCTGGCAGAAGAGTTTCTAGTCGATTAAGGGTTAGACAGCGCCTCTAGGGGGTATTTTGGCCTAGTCTTCCACGTTGGCCAGACATCTTGAAAGAGGTGGGAGAAACCACGCTTTACTCCACCCTGCACCACTTGCCAATCGATTGTGTTGGTGTACACATTTATACTGCCATCAAACAACTAATATGAATGTAAACACATAAGATGTTTACACACACAATTTGATAGGTACATCGTGAGATTAAATGTATATTAATTCCTGATTTTCTACATCGTTCCACCTTCACTTTAGAGAACAGAAAATGGTAGGTAGATCATACATTAAGATAGTGACAATTTTATAATTAAATTCAAAGCACCAATCATTACATTCTTGGCACAGAGTTCTAAATTTACACTTCAATTTATTGCTTAAATATAATAATAGAAATATTGAGCTTCTTTCCAAACACTTTATATTTTGGTTTAACACGTAGGCTTTCGTGACCAATATTATTCATAATAAAAGTTTTTAGTTCGCGTAAGTATAAATGTGTCGTAACCCTCCACCACCCGACACAGCTATTTAAGATGGAAGCAGGTGGATTGCTTCACTAAGCTGGCAAATCGCCCGATGATGCTGGATGTAATTACCAGCGAAACGTCCTACTAAAATTGTAAATATTGTGGATTTACTCTCCAACACACCTGTGGGGCTGAAGTAGTAACTAATTGGCGTTTGTTTACGTGACAAATCCCTTAATTGGCTGTGTCGGGTGGTGGAGGGATACGACACATTTATACTTAGGCGATCTAACCCAAAAACCTTTATTGTGAACTTTATATTTTGATGGCACAAATGTATTGATTAAATATTAACCCTGATGTGTATATTTAAAGATGTACATAATCCAATAGAACACAGGTTGTGATCTTTACACGTGGTTAATTAAATATTTGCATGGATTGTGCAGTGTTATGCACAGTTTGCTGGGAAAAGAAGACTTTAACCTATCGGGGTAACTGATCTGAATTAGGAAGAGAAAGTGAGCTAACTAATTGTCCGTTAAGCTCTCGTGAAGTCATGTTTCTCTTCCACGAACAGCATTTGGAGATGTGGCTACATAAACGTATACACGTAACAGGCTGCTTATCTCATGTATCTGGAACGATATTCAGATTTAAACATTTCGGATGTTTAAAGTCAACTTTGGATCTGTTTTTCAGAGTTTCTAATCATTGACATCGTTGCAATAACTGTACGCATCGCCGCCCATTGAAATAAAGTGACGTCGCCCGATTCATTGACTTCACTGTAAACAAAAACATTTCTGATCGTTCCAAATGCCACATCTCGGCCCCGATTTCAGGATGCTTTTTGGATTATTCCAAAAACAGGGAACACATCCCGAGCATGTTTGTGTGCAGGGAACTCTTCCTAGAACGCTATACCAATTTTTACGAACGAGGTTGTAATGTGGACGCTTAACATACATGTAATTACGTGAACAAAGGGAAAATTACGAATAAAATGATCTTTGATAAAACAAACAAATAATTTGACTTAAGCCCCGGCACTGTGCTTATCCATCCTACAATTTACAAAAAGACTGCCATGTGATGTAAGCACCGTTTTAAAATCATACAATAGATAATCAGATACCGTTGGAGAGGATTGTGAGCAGCACAGCCTTTAGTGATTTGAAGCTTTCGTGACTGCAGGAATTACTCTTTGGTTCTTTCGGTAAAGTCGCGCAGAAAGAAACATAAATTAAATAATATAATAATTGACGAACATTGATAAAAGGCCATAATTATTTAATTTAGTTTCTTTCTACGTTACTTTACCCAAAGAACCAAAGAGTAAAACAGCCTTTAGTGTCAATGGGTTTTCCACAGGCACATTATAAATCGAATTTTTGTCGTCTATATGCCACGCGTAGTAACCCAGAACATAAGAGTTGCGCGTTTATAAATGTACTTACTTACTAAAAGGGGGGTGGGGGGGGGGCTACTTGTGTTTTTTATTTGTTTTCACTTCTGGGACAATGAATATTCATACCTCCCCCTATTCTGTCAACTGCCGACAACTTTAAGATAGAAATGAACTTTACTTTCCCCATTTATATAATGTATGCAATATTAAACAAAACCCACCGATCTTGAGCTTATAAGGAGAATTTCCTTCACATTAAACCATAAAAAAAATGTAAAAGCCAGTATTTCAAGTGGGCCAAAAATAATACTTAACAAGTCGCTGTTACGATCAGCTTACCACAATTAACAAACCATCATATAAACTATGAAGCTCCGGTTAATGTGAATACAATCATGTTCTAAGATACAGCATTTAAATGTTTTCACGTTATATGTGAAGGTCACATTTTTTATGCATTTTCATAACATGTGTATATTTCTAGATGTTTAAATGTCAGCGTTCGTGCAAGGTAATGGAAAAATTACCCACAAAACCATTGGCAGAGGTGAACTGGTCACATCTCTAGAAATTGAAAAGTCATTTCGTTCTCATTTCTCAAAATGTAAAACTAATTTCTTTAGAACTGCTTTTTGTGTTGAGTTTCTTGTCCTTCCGCAGCATCTCCAATTAGCACGGTTGGCTACGTACGGTGCGAAATAAGTTCAACAAACATAAATACAGCCCACAGACTAACACTACCCACAGACTCAACACTGCCCAGACTCAACACTGAACCTCCCATTAACACGGTTGGCAACGTATGGTGGAGAAGAAGTTCAACATGCGTATATACAGCGCATAGACTTTAAGCATCCTGCTCTCTGACCGTGCTGTGAGTTCCCTCATGCACACGCGTCGGGGACTATTCTATCAGATTAGCGGCGCAGCTTACACAGGAAGCACGCGTAACGTTCTAAAATATGGACAAAGCCGATTAATGTGCGGGCAAAGATGTCGCGTGATATTGCAGTCGCAACAGAAATTCATTAGCTCGCAAACATTTAAAAATGATTCACAAGTTGCCTTTTATTTATGCTACAAACAACAATAAACCTTTGAACAAAATGTCATAAGGTTGTTAACCAAAATAACTAGCACATTCTAATCGAATTGTTACTTCTTATTGTAGATTAAATTAAAATCCAGAAAGATACATTAACTATATTCATGCTACATATCAAGGCTTTATTAGTCTTATTGTGTCTAGCCACTTGTCAATACTTTGTACTGCTGGATAAAGAAAGGCTTCCCCCAATATGGGGGATTATTTGGCCATACTTCACCACACTGGTGAATGCGGCTTGGTGAAGGCAGGGCACATAGATGTGGGAGCATGAAGTACAGTACAACCGTGGATTTCACTGCACTGCCCTTGGCTACTCACCACGTAACCACGCAGCAGCTTATAACAACCTGGCATGCATTGTGGTTATATCCAGGCTCATATTTCCTGGCTTCAGGTGATCAAGCCCTTTTTGACGAATTCAGTCATGGGCATTAATCTTCACAGTGATATTTAAAATGAGTGACACTTTGGTGTTGGTCTTTAGCGATCGTTCTTTGGGAAGACTGGTACCTGCCATACAAATGTGGAATGTACACCAATCGCTAGGGGCTGTGAACAGGCGATGTAGCCAACATTTGTATAAACACATTCCTACCCACACATGTTTGGCAAGCATGCAAAACAATTCACTGGCCCGTCTATTCTTATCATTCAGGGTCACGATTTAATAAAAAAATACTAATTTGTGTTTTGTTTTTACCGCATTCTTTTCCATGTGGTTTCCCCCCCCTGTCTAGTTTGTAGTTTTATTCATACCATACCCTAAATATAATACCATAGGATTTCCGTAAAATAGGCATTTCAAACACAACATTGATGCACACGTTGTGAATAAAGAATAAAAATAGATATTATTAGCCTCATTTAATGCACTGTTGCATCCGTAATGTTCAGTATAAACACGAATTAATAACTTTAAATTCATCTGCCTCCTGTAAAAATAGACATTAAGTACTTTTTTATGCGCAGTATACAACATTGCTTACTTTCACACAATATATTTTCCAGTTTGCTGGCAGACTAAAGTCGTGGTGTTTGCCAGGAGGGGAAATCCTTTCCGGGGGTCACTGACCCATACAAAACACGGATAAAATTAAGACCTGGAATATTGGGGGAACGGATGCTGCTGTGATGTGACGGTTAGCATGCTGGATTCACAATCCAGAGGTCGATGGTTCCATCTCCCTGCGCATTATTTATTGAATTCCCCCTGTACCTGTCCACCCAGCAGCATAAATGGGTACAGCGCAGTTAGTCGATCGGCCGGTCGCGTGTGGTGGGGGTAAAGTGTGGGTGCTCCCACCTTTTCCAAGATGTGAGGCCTGCATGTATGTATGTATGTTAAACTTCTTTCGCACCTTACGTAGCCAACCGGGCTAATCGGAGGTGCAGGGGGCAAGGACAACAAGCTAAACACAAAACGCAGTTCTGAAGAAATTAGTTTTCAATCCACATTTAAGAGTGCATAGCTCCAGTGGCTTCCTAATATCGGAAAAGCATCCCAGACGGCCACAGAAGCGCATCTGAAAGTGAAGCAGTGACCTTCATTGCATGAAGAGTACAAAATAACTTCTAGCGGGGCTCTCGAGAGCTCCCCCTAGTTGAGCAGTGGCAAGAGCAAGCAATTTACACGACGACTCAAGATTCATATCACAGTGATCCACCCTATAACTCACTGGAATATAAAAGGGATCGGCTTTTACTCACGTGTGCATTGCTGCCGCTACTCAGATCGTCCATGCTGCTCCCAGGGGTGACGGTGTCAAACTGGCGTACAAATCCTCCCGCATGCCCCGGAAGGGAGTTGCTCTTCCCCTTAACACCTTCGACGTTCTCGCGGCCTATCACCACAAAGGCGCACTGCAATTTCGGAGACGGCGGTTTGCTTGGATCGGCGGGTGGCGGTGCTCCAGCAACCGAAATTATCCTGGGGCCATCTTCCACGGGTTTGTCATTGCTTCTAGTCGTCTTCAGCTGCTGCTCTGCCGGGGCGTTATTGTTGTTGTTTATGACGTGCTTCAGGTTCATGAGTACCTGTGGTGGCATCAGCGCCCTTTTGCTGCCGTCGCCTAGCTTTCTTGGCAACGTGTCGCCGCCGCCGCCCCCTTTCCTTGGCTCATCCGGCGCATTCCTCGGCTCCTCCGGGGGTTTTCGGACATCCTCCGCAGACCTCTTGGCAGACTCTGAAAGCCTGAGGTCTTCCTTGATTTTCTGAATGTCCTCGAAGTGAGACCTCTTCTTTTCCTCGCCACATTTTGGGCCGTCGCTGGTCTGGATTTGCGCGTCATCTCGCGCGAGCCTCCGCGAGTCCTCGTCGAGCTTTCGCGGTGCCGCAACGACGTAAAGAGCGGGTACGTAAATGGGTTTGCGTTCTCCGAAACGTCTGACTTGCCACCAGTCGCCGTTGGTCTTCTTGACGAGCTCAAACTCCTCGCCTTCCTTGATCGTCACCACGCGGCCACTGGTGTTCGTGTACTCGTAGTCATATTCCGCTCGTACGATAAGTTCGCCGTTCTCCTTGCTCGGAGGGCTTGGCTTTCTCCCCCCTGGTTTCTCGTCATTGGCAGTAACCGACATGATTTATTTTGTTTACTTCGTTGTCATTTTCCGCAAGGTGCTACGAAACTCTCAGCAAACGGACGGAACGCGTTGTTGCATCTGTAATGATAAAACAAAAAAACATTTGTTTTTGCCGTTACGCACTGTGAAACACCTCGTATCTGCAATCCTCTGATGTACATATTCAAACATCTCTGGATACAGTGGATGAGCAATGCATCCTATAATAGAGGTATCTGCAGAGATAAACACATAAAAAACAAGGTATGGTGCATCAACCCTGTACTTCCTGATGACACTCTCATTATGTCACAAGTTCGGCGGGCTTTGACAAAGTTGAAAGTTTATTCACTTTAAAATTAAATTCAAACAAAGGCGAGGTCGCTCTGCGGTGTTTTTTTCTGGTTATAACTTGAAATTCAGTTCGTGAAGAACCTCCCAGCACGAGGTGCAACATGTCAGACATGCTGATGAACGACACGTGCGGGAACAACCCGAAAACACGTGGGAGATCTACGGAGGTGATATCGCCCAAAACTCGGATGACAACTCCACAAGGCTAGGAGCTCCCTCAAGTCGTCTCCACCAGTTACACCTCCTCGCATCCGTAATCAGGTAAAAAAAACACTGGGGTCATGGATAACGAGAACACCAGTTAGATGCAAGACTACAGATCGTCTGAAATTTGGATGGGAGCAGCACCTCCCCATCAATTAAGAGTTTATCATACAAAGGGCACAATAAATATATACTGCTAAAATGACTGACAAATTGCGCCACCCTGCAACTGTGCAATCCACTTCTCTCTCCAAACTTGTGTTTCCCTGTCTGGAAAGATGCAGATACAACTGATAGAAAAAAGAAGTGCTTCCTTATTTTCCCAAACGGTTCAAGGGATGCAATATTTTTTTTTATTTTCAATAGTTAACCGTAGTTTTAACATGGCATTTGAGTGCAGCTGTGGCACAATGGTCAGCGGCGCACTGCACAACGAACTCAGATATCCGAGTTCGATTCCCCGCCACTGCGAACATGAGCTACGATTGGCATACAAAGCAATCCCTGGCACCCACCTTCACCAACCCGCAGTTATACAGTGGGGGAAATATAGTTTTTAAAAAAAATCATCAATACGGCAGTGGAGAGGCTTCCATCTAGCAGCAGATTGACGTGAGAGCTGTAAACCGAAATGGCACTAGAAAACAATTGCAAATGCATGTAAACTTTTCACGCATTGGCAGATGGTGCACATATTTGATAAGGTCCTAAAGGGCATTATCAAGAAATTGAGGTTGTTTTCCAAACCACAAAACCTAAATTCATAAGCACACTAACCACTGGACCTCCTAGCCATCATAACAGTACATATAAGGAACCAAGGCTGAGCAGCCACCAAAGCGGAGAAGTTGTAATTTTGGACTTGCACTCCAGACACGAGGTAGTTGGTTACAAGCTGAGTCAAGTCTATTGTTTATCTTGCCCACTACTTTTCAGCCTTCGATATCAAGATCTTCTTTCGTTTCACGCGATTTATTTCCATTGGTTGTTACAAATGGGCTTGTCGTCAACAAATCTGCACGTATAGCAAAAATAGCTCCAATAAAATAATCAGAACTGTCAAAAATAATGGAGAATCTAAAAACAAGGTTTCGGGGCAGACTGAACTGTGGTACAAGGCACACAAGACGTCTCAACCACTACGGCCCACGCAGGCAGTGAACAACCGTGTTAATTACATTGCACATGTACAGCTATTTGTCGAATCCACTGCTGGATGAGAACCTCCCCGTGCCATATGGAGTGTTGGCCATTATTTAAGCATACTTCACTCAGCATGTCAGTGCAAGTTATTGATGACGGGCAGCATAGAAGTTTAGAACAAAGGATGTCACTGCCATCTGTTGCCCACCGCGTGGCTCTGCAAGCGGCCTTTAACACATTTTGTTAATGGTCTTCGCCCATCCAAACACGACCCAGGCTCAATATTACTTAGCTTCGGAGACCTGGCGAGATCGGGCGCATTCCAGGTCATTTGATCACAGGCAGTTAACCTCATCACACCATCACACTGTTTCCCTGTTCAGCACGTTAAGTCATTACCCCTAGAACCTCATTACGTGGTTAGCCACGTAATCGTGCGACGCCAGTGGAGTTAGTTACTCACCCCCTTTAACTGCTGGCACGCGAAAGCATAAAAAATCCGCAAACACATCTGCCGACTACCGCAGATAGCAGGCCTAACAGATAAGAGGATAACGGACAAGAACAGGTCAAACATTTTTTTTAAATACCCTCTGCTGTATGACTGATGAAGATACAGCACTGCATTAATGAACATCATCATCATCGTCAGACATGGTCGATTCACTGCTGGATGAAGGCCTCCCTCCGCAAGCCGTCACCATTCCTCACGGTCCTGCAGTGTAACAAACCACCTTTGTACACAAGCCGATCTCATCGCTCAATCTCTGCAGTGGATATCCTCTTTGGCATTCCCTCCTTTGGCTGCCCCTCAGTAGCTATTCTCGCTCACGGTCACCATCCCTTCTTGGTACATGTTAACTTTTGGATTACACCCTACATTTAAAATGGAGTTGGGCAGAACACATCTCAATAAAATACAGGGCTTCCCAAAAAGGTTACATTGTCCAAGAGTCACGCATATTATTGCTTTATATTTATTGAACACCAAAGTGTACTTTTTAATTATCCACATCAACGTTTACATCGAGTGTCAACATTTTTAATTCAGTTTTTCTTAAATTCACAAAAAAACAGCAAAAGTTTTCAAATTGCTCACTTCTGTTGTTTACACACGTTGCAGGAACGCATCGCTCTATCTTCACCTAAAATGAAAGTAACAAAATGGTAAAAAAAAACATGCAAACTCTCGGGCATTGAGCGATGGACCAAATGGTTCGTGCACTGCGACACACAAACTCGCTTTCCCGAGTTCGATTCCCGACCACAGCTAGCGTGAGTGGCGAGTGATACCTGAACCAATTCTGGGCCCCCCCCACCACTCCCCTTCACCAACCCGTACTGACCAGCACGAAGTATAGTCAAAGAACCCCCACGGACAAACACAGCAATGGTGAGTCGTTCATCCAGCAGTGGATTGCCCCGAGTAAAATTACTTTTGCAGAGTGCTCTATTGTAGGCATTTTACTTTCAATATTAAATATATGAGCCAAAAGGTCATACCCCCATTCAGCTCGTGGCACTGTTAACCAGGAAACATTCAGTCACTAAAGTTGACCATTACACGTGATCCACCAAACTTGTAGTTCATTTACTTTCATATCTCGTGGGTGTCAACGTGACGACTAAGTCACACTCTTCGCGTGCTGTTTTACACAGCACCTCCGATTGGCACTATTGGCTACTTACGGTGCGAAAAAAGTTGGACATACATAAGTAGTATTTGCCAAGCCGTCAAACAAAAAATCACTGTACTGTACAGATGTTCGGATGTTAATACCAATCAAGCAGCGAGCATATCAGGACAGATTCAGCCAACTTAAAAGCGTCTTAGTGCCATCATTTTACTTGATAACAAATAAATAAAGCATGGCTTGGATATGTTTCCGGCCTGCACTATGATCCTGTTATGATGTTTTTCTTACCAATTACAGATTTGACTATAGCTGGGATATCCGATTATTTACGTTGTCGAATGTGTTACTCGACTCAACCAATTGGATAACATGAACGTAGTTGAAGTCTCAACTCTGTTCCTACGTATGCCGCCGAATGGTAGTTGATGGGTGGGACTTGGTGACATCATCAGCAGCATGATCGGCCACGCCACACTGTGCATAGGTTATTGGGGGTTTCCTGCCTTCAGTAGGCAGGATGTGGGGGCATCCACCAATTTTTAAGTGGCCCGAGTTATAAACCACAAAAAATGCAGTCAATTACATGTTTTGGTTGATTAACCAACTTAAATGACATATTGTCCAAGCTCTGAAATAAGAGCTAAATCGATAACAGTCTAACACTAGGACCTGTAGAACGTTTGAGAATGCCATACTTTACCGTAGCCTTGGGATTTTACATTTTCGAATATATGTTCTAATCATACAAATATCAGCATCTGAATATTTACTCATATTGGACGAAACCGAAGCTCTTTTTCACAAATATCTCAGTTGGGGCAAGTCAGAACGTTGTAACAAATAAATAATACAAAAACATGATAGGAGTGCAAATTATAGGAACGGTAAACAAGTCACTTAAAAAATATACACAAATATTAACTAAACCATTTTTTTCATCTTACAAGGTAAGGCTCACTCAGCCATAGGTCAACTAAGCGGTTTATCATCACGTGGAAATCAACAGCAGCAAAATAATCTAGACGCATGAAATTAAATGTCTAGGGGAAAACTGGAGGACGTGGAGAAAAATCCACGTGACTACGGGGAGAACATGCAAACTACAAATATACAGCAGGCGTCAAGGTTGGGATCGAACCCACGACATCCGGAATACATTAATAATGTACTGTCCTATGTTTATACAGGATAGTCTCAATAAGTCTCAATACTACACTATTTCAGATGGCCCCTTGATCAAGTTTGATAATTGGCTATTCCTCAGCCAAGTAACGTATTTTGGATTCTTGGAAGAGATCAAATTACCCAGAAAAAAATCCACACAAATTAGACTCACAAATCCATAGATAAATCGACAAGCTACTGAATACAAGGGCATTAATTAGCCTGGCCAGTTAGGAATCTCATGCATATGTTTACATTACAGGTATGCACTACTTTTCCCGACACAATGTATTCAGACATACCTTGACACACACGGCAGAATTCATGGTAACTGTGGTGGAACGGTGGCACAGTGGTTAACACAAATGATGTGTGAACTGATCCTGCACATAAGCCCTTCACCAAGTTGCAGTGGACCAGTATGGTAAAGTATGGTCAACAACCCTCATAACTGGCATGGCGTGGGGAGGACTTAATCCATCATTAGTTATCACATCATATACCATACAGTACATGGTAATTACTATGTTGAAGGTTGATTATGATCAAAATGTCCAGGATGAAGCACTTTTTTAAAACGGAATTTTACAATTAAAA